GATACGTTTCGATAGGAATGAACCATGATTTCATTTTCCGTCTTGTTTTTGCTTTACGAGCGATTGCTCTATTGCTCAGCGAGATCGAAAGTGAAGCAAAAAAAAAATAATGAAAAATGTAGAAGGACAAGCAGTAGCTCGAACTGTGCCTCTGTAACTGTGAGTGTGAACGATAAATGAACGGTAGAGAGTAGCGTAGAGAGAAAAAAAAAGTCGAGCAGCAGCCCAGATCCGGTATCGCAATATAATATTCATTTAGCTTTTAAATAAAGTTCGTTTGTATCATCATATGTATCTATCTGTGCGCGCGATCAAGATAGCGACGTGCAGAAAGAAAGAGAGCCAGAACGGGAAAGTATGCATGCGGTCGATTTCAAAAATGTGCTTGGAAATGCTTGTAACATTTATATTTGCAGAAAAATGCACGAAATAAAATAGAAAGAAAGAAAGAAGAAAAAATATGGTGTACACACAGCCGAAGTGCATGCAAAATAAGTGAAGTAGGATTTTTTTTTCTCAATGTAATCATTTAACGAAAGCTGAAGTTTCATTTCGTTTTTCTTAATGGATTTTCGTTATTCACTCTCTGCGTGCGTGTTTCTCACTCGCTCGATGTCTACCCTGGCCGTTCGCTCGCTCACTCGCTCACTCTCTTGAGCATTCCGAACTCGAAGCACATTCGCTTAGTGCCTATCCTATAGTTTAAGCGAAAAACAAAATTTATTTATGCATATCTCGTGGATGTATCTCTCACTCTCCGCATATACATACTCGCTCCAAACGTTTCTTCTTTCCTCCTGTCCATATTAATTCATGTGAACAATGTTTGCATAAAATGTGAGTCACACCCAGCAACAACATTGACCGAGCCCTAATTGTCGCCTATACACACTTAATAGTACTTACATGCAATCAATTCCAATGAATACTACTTTTCATCATGTCAACAATATTTTTTTTTTGCACTTCTCATTTTCAGAGTTGTGTAGTTGAACGCTGTGTGTGTGTGTGTGTTTTTTTTTCTTGTTCGTTCGGGTAAAAAACATTTATTGCCATTTGCATAATAATCATCGGCGTCGAACAACAAACCCGTAATTGGAAAATGTTACGTGGTTCAAATAACATCGATTTATTTTCAATCAATCTTTTTTCCCCTATTTGCCCTGCTGACATCGGCAGAAAAAAACCAAAATTATAATAAAGAATGGTGTAGAAAAAAAGACGAACAAAAAATATCCTGGAATTTTCGAAGATTCTACATCATTTTTACATTCCATTGATGTTAGATTCTGTTGGCATGCGATATCGCACCCAAACCACCGGCTCTCATTCTTTTTGGCACACAATGGTCCATTGAAACGATTGCAAGCATAAATTCCGCTAAGTAAGTTTCACCTCGTCGCCCAAAAAGTTCACCATCGATACATATTAAGTGCTTGTTAACATATCACTTTAACTTCTTTTTCCACACACACACACAAACACACACACACAGCGTCACGCAGCCTTAAAACAGAATATTAAATGATGCTTTGCTTCCATTCATTTTCAATTTTCGTCTTTTTTTCTCTTCATCTTCTGGCGTTTTAAAACCGAAATCACGGCTGCCACGGATGATGCTGTCATTTTATCCAATTGCCAAAAAATGAAGAGATTGCGCGCATACCGAGAGGGAAGAGCAAAAGTGAGAGCAACGAAAAAAAACAACAGTTTATTGATTCTGCAGGCCTCGAAACTCATTTTGCCCCCAAGGCTTTGAAAATCGTTAATGCGGCATTATTTTATATGCAAACGATCTCCTTTCATACTCATAATCGTTACATTCAATGGAATCGCCAATTCCAAGTAAAATGATTTGAGAATTCAAGTGATTTTTTGCTCATTCAAACAAATCTCCTTCGTTTAGCTTTTGAATGAATTCGCCGATTAATGGCATTATTTATTGGTTTTTGCTTCTTCTTCTTCTTGTATCATGTTGTCGAGGGGTTTTTCTCTGTTATTATGATTATTATTTTTTTTAAAATGACAACCGCATGCCGACTCACTTGAAATTTGACAACTTACATAGTTGTGGTGAATTTTTCGGCTGCGTATTCTGTTTATTTTTCTCTCTTTCTCTCTCTCTCTCTCTCTTCCCCGCATTCTCTCTCTGTGAGTGTGGTGATATGGTTTATTGCAATGTTCAAAAATTCAAATTTCAAGAGTGAAATGTGTGCACCGCATCACACCGATAAAATTTATTCCAAATGCACATGAATCCTATAAAATAAATATTATAAAGTTGTGAAGAAAAACAGCACACACAAAATCATCCGTATAGTAGGAGAAAGAGCAAAAACAAAAAATACCAACGACCGGCACAACCAAAACCCAACAGCAACAACAATAAATGTTACCGGCAGTGTGTCGCCTCTTATTCAAATCTTATATAACGAACGAGCACATTGTCTCACTTTTGCGCCTCGTTCTTTTCCTCTCAGTTTCGTTTGCGCTTTTCCATTCCAGTTGATAATAAGCTATATCATAATGCTCCATTGGAATGCGAAACTGGTATTTCGTACGTACATTAAACACCTTTTTATGTTTTGTTTTTATTCGGTTTTCGGCGGAGAGCGAAATGATATTTGTGAATCGCGTTGAATTGCATTTGCGTAAAGATGTATTTATGTTCAATAAAACGAGCAAAAATTAATGTATTTTGTCGTTTTATTTTTTGAAAAAATCCATACATTTATGCATATAAAATCAAAGGAAAATAAAAAAGAAGAAGAGAGAAAAAAATCGAGTACAATTTTGGGGAAGACGGAGCGAAGTTGACAGCATGTAATGGTTTTTATCTGTGGAAAACGGGTATAAGCACATCACTGTCGTCTTTTAAATTCGGTGAATGCCTTAAGGTGCACTGTGAATTAAATTTCATGCGGGGCCCATTTTTTCGGCAGTCAAGCAGGCAGACTAATATTTATAAAACAAACCTTGAAAAATACCTTCGCATGCAACTGTTTCATAAGCAGAAAAAAAGCAAAAATTCGTGCATTGACTTCAAATTGACGTAGCAGCAGCAGCAGCAGAGACGACCGAAGTGAGCTCCAAGAGTGGCACTTGAGCAGTTACTATCCGCAACAGAGGCAGTGATTTTGATTTTTGATATTTTATGAAAATATCAAACGAGCGACGTTTCAATTGAAAACATTAAATACATTTTCGAGCATGCAATCACAACCGATTCTGGCATTTTCCATATTCATAGTTCAACCTCATAAATGCTACCCATATAATACCACGTCGAGCGTGTAATATTTCATATTGTTTGATCAAGGATATTCTGATGAAACAGCAAACTCTCATACATGAGATACACACTACTCTCGCTCACTTGCTCGCTCGCTCGCTGGCTCGATCTGTATTTCTGTCTGTATGTACAAGTTATTCGTTGAAAAGTGTCGACGAAAGGAAAATGCGGCAACAAATGCACACACTCACCCACACTCGACCACCGTCACTCGTACACTCTTCCTCTACCCCTCTCTTGCTCTCCATTCCAAATGACAATTTGCCTTTTCATGTTCTGACATTTTCATAATTTTGTCCGGCTCTCTATTCCATTACAAATACACTCACCACGAGAAGAAAAAAAAACAACATATACAGACACACACTCGCACACAAAAATAACAGTGAAACAGCTAAAGCAAAAATTGAAACAAGTTGAGAGTAAACTAGAGCACCTTGCAGCTTTTTCATTCTAGTTTACGATCAAATTTATTTTGGAAGCTAAATGCGGAAGTTTGTTTCAGAAAATTGAAAATGCGCCGAGTGCAGCATACATACAGCATTCGTTTTTGCATGAAAACGAAACGAAAAAAAACACACATACCAAAGCTACCAAAAATTGAGAGCTACTGCTTAAATCGAAATTGTTGCTTGTGCTTGGAATGTGTATTCTCGGCCAAGCAGCAGCAGCACCAACAACAACAACAACAACAACAACAACACAACCACATCTCTCGAGAATGTTGAAAACCATGAAAATGTGAACTCAAAGTATTTTGAATCGACCTGCAGGTGCAGACGAATAAATAAATTACCGCAATCTAAAACCGATGCAATTATCAAGTAAATAAATCAACAATGAAAATTCAATCTTGTGATAGACTTTTAAAGTCACAAGGATACTATGCAACAAAATACCTCACGTATATATATATATATATATATATATATATATATATACTGTGGCTGCCCATATAACATAAATCGAACGAACTTCGACCGATGATAGTACCACTACTACAGCCACTCGAACAGGCAAACGATGGACGGAAATGTTCTCTTTTAAATCATATCAAGTGTAGTTTAAATAAACCAAGATATTTAAGCTGAAAAAAAGTAAACAATCCTTATAAATACCATACAAAAAAGTACACATATTTCGGCCACAAGAGTTTAACAATAACGGTGAATAAATAAAAGAGAGAGAGAGAATTGGGTAAATCGAGACGAAGCTAGCGGAAAAAAGCCCGATTGCAGTTTAACGCGAATGGTGTTGACGTGATAGAAAAAAATGGGGACGAAAAAATTGTAGTAACAGGTCTCTCTCTGTTTGTGTGTGTGTCTCTCACTGGAAATCCTTAAAAATCAACAAAATTGAACTTGTGCACCGAACGAAGAGTTGCCTTTAAATCAGTTTATGCAGTTATAAAATAAACACACATATACACAAGCCGAGAGAGTCGAAGAGTAAAAAAAACTCGTGAAATAAAATATGGACAAAAATGCAGCGCTCGCAAATAACCATAAATAATACGCGTATAATCATTTTTCTCTTCGTTTTTCATATTTTTGTGCGGCGATTATTTTATGTTATTTTATTTTTATTTTTTCTACATTATTTCTTCGTTGCGTTCATTTACTCAACGTATACACATATTTTGTTTCTTCTTTTTTGTTTAGTGAGCGCAAATCGTATTAATTCTATTTAAATTCATATCGAATTATAGCAACAACAAAACGACCGAATCAATAAAGAAATAAAACACGCTAGGAATATATAATCTCGGTAGCGTAGAGAAAAAAAGAAGAAGAAAAAGAAAAAAAGAAGCCGACGACGTCGACGACGACAGTGAATAAGAAGAAGTTGAAGGAGAGAAAGAGTGAGAGAGAGAGAGAAGAAAGAAAGAATAAGGTTTTATTTTTCAATGAAAAGTGAAAGTTTTCAAAAGATGATGCTTCGTTACATGTAAGTGATGTGATTTAATTTTAATTTTAATTTAATTTTAAGTTTTTCGGTTTTCTTTATGATAATTCCACATCTTTTGCTGGCATTTAATTTACTCATTTTATTTATTTGCGTAAATATTTATGTCTTGTGATTAAAACTTTAGACTTAAGTAGGCACGCACAGCACACGCGACACAAAACTAGTACAATGTGGCATTGTTATTGATGTTGTGCTTCGCAACATGCTTTGCGTTTGCCGACGATTTCGTTTTGGTATCCATTCAAATTTTTTATGCCGGAGGAAAATATTTGTTTATGAAAAGGAAAGCAAGCAACCAAAGCAAAGGAAAGCAAAGCAAAACAAATCAAGCATATGCACCGTACACATATTATTTATCATATACAAATATTTTATGGACTTTGATGGCATTTGCACCGTTGTCGCACATTTTCCGCCTAATTTAATTCGCTTTAAATTTATTCGAAATTGCTTTTCGTTTTTGTTTGAAGCCGACAAGTGAGTGTGTGAGAGAGAGAGAGAGAGACAGAGAGAGAGAAAGAAAGAAAAACAACCATTTTTATCTACCTCAAAATTGATTTAAAATATTTGAGATTTTTATCGAAGATCCGCTTAAGAGATTAGTTATAATAATGATCGAAATCAGAGGCTGCTGAAGGCGAAAGATTATCGCAAGTGTTTCGATGGAAAAATAAAATAAATTTATGCGAGTGCAAAACCAGATGAGACTGAGATGGAACGAGAAAAAGAAAAAACGCACAGCGCAGAAAAGCAAAAACAGAAAGAAAAAAAACATTGAAGAAATTACATAAAGCCAGTGCAACTGAGGCAATAGTTGAAATTTGCCTACGAATGCACATAAGGTGAATTGTGTGCGATGTCAATATACAATGTTAGTAGGATTGATTGCTTTTCATTCACCTCTTTCCTGTCATTCGTCTGTTGTATTTCTCTCTCTCCCTCTCCCTCTCCTTCCCTCTCACTTTATTTTTCTCCTCGAACTCATGTGCGCTACTGTTGCAAAGTTTTTGTCGCCATTTATTTTAGTTCTCTTGAAGGTGAAGATTAATAGGCAAACGATTTTTTATTTTGATAAAATTTTAAATAATTTAAACGTTATGATGCATTTGAAGCCGAATGGAAATGTGTGTATGCTTAGCCTCGCCTCGCAATCTCAGAAACGGGCAACGAATATCCAAACAAATCATATGTGCACACACCTAATGTCGTCCCGAAAATAAATGTTCCTGCGATCGCCTTGCTCTGTATATAAACACATATACACTACACACACTTATTCTTTTTTTTTATTTCCCTATGCTCTCGTCGCTTGCGCTTCTTTCGTTTCGTTTCCTTCTTTGTTGGTACTTGAATTTGCAAGTGAATTTGCATATGTAAAAGAGTCACGAATTTTGGAAAACGTAAAACGGGCATTTTAAGCGCTATATGAAATCCGTGCACAAAGGGAAAATATATCTTATCTATTTGGCATGAGTAAGTGTGTGGATGTGATAGAGCGAACGAGCGAGCGAGTGAGTACAGAGAGGAAATGTGGCAGTGCTGAGACGATGGCGGCGGCGATGATGGTGGGTATATAATGTTTTGTATGCCGAGAGAACAGTAAAAATGAAACAAAGCATTACAGTGCAACTGATTCAGGAGCGCTGAGTATATGTAATCTAATGAAATTATGCATAAATTCGTAACTAAATGTACGATGAATACTTTATTGAGTACACGTAAGGCTTTCGTGTTTGCATCTATTCGTAAAGTGTAAAGTGTGTGTATTCGCTTCAATTACCTATCACGAAAGGCATTTTAAAGAATTTGGTGCCTTCTTCTTCTCCATCTGTTTTGTTCATTGTCTGGTTGAATGTGTTATATGGTTTTTTTTTCTCTCTCTTTCTGTTCGTATACTTATTCTATATCGCGGGTCTACCACTTCTTCTTCTTCGTTTTTCTCATAGCGCATTCCATTACAATGTGGCGGTCTTCATTGAATACCAAACGCCACATTCTTTGGCCCATAAAAATGCAACAACTAATAAACCGTTTCATTTCTCTCGACGAATGAATTATGCAACGCTGACGCGTTTGTTTCAAATTCAATACTGGAAGACAAGAAAACTGAATACCAATTTGGCCTAGTTGTTTGCTGGTTTCTTTTTCTTGTCGCTTGTTCGACTTTAATTATTCTTTTGCTCTCTTTTTCTCCTCTATTCACCAAAATACTCGAATATCCATACCTAAACTGATGGCATCGCATCGAGCGGCGCAAAGAAAACGAGCGCATGAATGCCACAACCAAATTTATTCATGTCAATTATTTTCTGGTGTAAATTTAGCAACGTGCTAACGTCAATTATACCTTCGATAACTATCTATTTATGCCTCATTCGCATGGCATAACCGAATTTGTGCATATTAATAAACCGATATTTGGTAAATATCAAAACCGCCTCCCGATGGAAATTCCCATGGAATCATTCATTTTTGAATTTCGGCACATGCAGACGCACACACACACACACACACACACACACACAGTATCTCTTTCTCTCGCTCAAACACTCATTCATCGATTGAAACAACAAACAGCCATCGACAATGATGACGGCGGCGACGACAACGATGATCAAATAAATGAAATAGAAAACCCACACATAGTAATAATAATAATAACAAATACGAGCCATCTGAATCCAAATCGATGAACCATTAGTCGTGATTTTCCATTTGAATTAAAAATGAATTGAAAATTATTCTCTCACTCTCTCTCTCTCTCTCTTCAACTCTTTCTCTTCTCTTCTCGATTCGATTCGATTCGATTGCGAAATCAAGCATATGGAGATTTTGAATGGTTCGGCGTGCACCATGTTTCCACTGCACATTGTTTGTAATTTATTTTAACATTTCGTCATTTAAGTGAAACGTACGGGTTTAAACCATTCAATCGGATGCATTATAAATGCGTCGAATGCGTCTTCGATTATATGCCACAATGAATACATGATTTCAGTTATTAAACTTAATGTATCAATACAAGCTGAGGGATTCATCGTCAAATGGTTCTCGTGCATGTAACACGTATATATAGCGCAAAGCGTGTATGCCAGCTCATGAATGCAAAACGATACCGATACACCACGAATCACAAAATACGGTCCATACACTACCATGGTAGCACACACACACACACACACACACCATGTTAGTCCATGCCCGTACCCGTGCCCAATCATATAGAACAACAACACTTGCTAGCAAGAAGTTTAGCAGCAACAGCACCACAGTAGCAGCGCAATGTTTTTGAAGAGAGTGAGAGCAAGCACCAGACGAGAAGAAGTAATATAACACAAGCGCCAATAAACATAAAAACGATGCAAAGAAGAAAAAAAAGTTGAAAGATATAGAAGAAAAATAAAAACATTCCAGCGAACGGAGCGAGAGAGAGAGAGAGAGAGAGAGCAGCAGCTCAACAGCCAGTGTTTATGGAAAATTATGGATGTAGTGTAATGGAAGTTCACTCCGTTCATTTCTTGCACATAATGCAGATTATTAAACGCGTTCAACACTCACTCACGTACATGACACATCGCCGCTATTCACACAGCATTCTGAACATTCTGAAGTACATCCACCGCACTTAGGCATTCACTCTCTAGTCTCTGATTTCAGTTGCAATATACCAATTAAAAGTTGCTTTTAAATTGTCAGATCACGTTGAATTCCTGATCAAGTACCGACATTTTATTGTTCTAGAAAAAGAAAATCGCATAAAGTGCCATACATAAAAATAGAAACGAAATAGGCAGAGTGACAGCGCAACGAGTGTGAACGAGAGAGAGAGAGAGAGAGAGAGATAGACACATATGTACGTACGTGAAGAAACAGAAACACAACGCCATTAAACATGAAAGTACATTCCTCATCATTTCGAAATTTGCATCTGAATTTACTACACGTTGTCAGTGACACATGTATATATAACGGTTGAAGCCCACTCTTTATCAACAACAATTTTACAAAGGCTCTCGCTCGCTCTTGCTCGCTCTCTCTCTACCGCTCTCTCACTCTCTCACTCTTTTTTCTCCCTCTGTCTCTGTCACACCCAGTCCGGGTTGGTTGGGCTCAATTCTGCATGGTATTCGTTTGATTTAGATTCACATGTAGAAGGATATTTTCCATTATTGCGATTGCTTAGCCAGCATTTTCACAAATGAGAACAGTGTTGTTCAAAACTGCTTAAAACATTTACCTTGAGGTAAAATAAAATCATAATCAAACAACTAGCGAAAATTCCTATATTTCGTTCTTTTGAAGCGTTTAAGATTCTTGTTTGGTCGTCATGCGGAATTCCAGTGAGCTCATGATTTTCTAAGAATGTTCATTCAACTATATTAGGCACTCAAACCATTGGTCCTGCGCTGGAGTTCTTCACACATAAGCGTACGCAAAAAATGACGACGATGAAAATATAAAACGAGGAAGCAAATACACACATTGTTAGACCATACAAACATACTCATAAAGAGATCAAACGAGGAATGCTATCGATGACTATTTGAGTGGCCACTTGCGGTGGCTTCCAACAAAATGCACACACATGAGAGAGCGCAAAAAAAATGAAATAAAAAATACTTTCCCATTGTCATGCAAAACTTTCGAACGTGTTAAAAATCAAGTTGGAATACATATGTGTGTATTATGCTAATGATAAAATGAGCTAAATGATGTCTTTTTTTGCTTGCTTTTATTGTTGTTGCTGTTGCTGCTTGGCGTTTTGTTGAGATTTCTTGGCACAAGGAGAGTCTGTGTGATGTGTATTTTTGCTTCTTACACATCTTTTGTTTCGCTCTCATCCAACACTTCCATTCAATTAAGTCATTCGGTGAAAGTGAATTTTGGAATTTTTGATTGACCTTCAAAGACTTGTGCTTCATTCACAGCGTACAACATCAAATGATTCGAGTATTAAAATTCCTTCTTGTTGTGTGCGCGCGTGTGTTTCATTTTTTTCTCTGCTGGCTTTTCTTGTCTTCTGCTTCTCTCACATTGAACCTTCATGTACATTGAAAACATTAAGTTATCTCGAAATTAACCTTTTAACAAAACCACCATCAGATTATGTATTATAATATGAATAATAAATGTATGTGCAAACGTCATTTATGTTAGAGCAACAGCAGCAGTAAAGGCGGCGGCGGCGACGGTGGTGGTGGTGGTCTGAAAAAAATCCATGTAAACGGGTATTTGGTTTGTGTTTCTCTTTAGAAATTCAAAGGTCATTTGCATACAGATGCGATAATTACAGTGACTAAAGCAAGTTGAATTTGCTGTGAGAGACCTTCCAAAAAGAAATTCGTTCATTTGGTGACGGTGATGACGGTGCCAAAGCCACAATGAACTAGTTCATTAGGTAATCGCAATAAAAAAAAATCTAAAAACATTGGCTAAACCAATGTTGGAGTATGCCGTGCATACGAATAGTAAAAGAAAAAAACCAACCAAGCGAAATGAACTACAAAAAATTGAATAATGACGACGACAACAAACGAAAAAAAAAGAATCATAATTTTTTTTCTCTTTGTGAAGCATGTATGCCAATTCGAGCAGAGCAAAGTGTAAACGCCTATGTAAATCAGATGCAATCAGTTGAGGCGAAGAAAAGAATTTTCCCTCGTTTCTTTTTCTCATTTCTCCTTGTTTCTCCTTGTTTCCATCGGAAAGGAAATACTCTAATAAAATAACACAAGAGAACGTAACAAAATGAGCAAATATTTTATTTCATTTTATTTTATTTTATTTGTAAAGGATATTTGCATTTGTAATAAAGGACTAACCTTGAATAAAGACGAAAACCTTTAACGCTGTTCTTGGGTGATACCCATACGTTTCCCTCTCTCTTGCTTGCTCTTTGTATGTTTGTGTATATAGAGATAGATTGTGTTTGGGAATATGCGATGCCAAACTACGTATATTGGCAAAATTCTGGGTGATATGTCTGAAAAATATGTACATTGTAAACATATCCATGTATACGCGTGTGTATACGATGTGATGCGATGCGATGCAATCCAATTTCTTTTTTGTCGAGAACCATTCCAATTTCTTTTGCTTTGAGCTTCTTTTCCCACTTTCATTTCATTCATTTTCCCCATATTTTTTGTTCACATCCTTTTGAATTTGCTTTAATTTCTTTTTAATTTATTCACTTTTCTTTTCCTTTTCTCTTCTATGTTGTTGTTTCTCTCCCCTTTTGTTGATTTACATTAGGATCGTGTTCGGACTCGTGTCGTTAGCGTTAGCACAATCAGCAGCTAACACAAACAAATCCATAAAAAAGGTGAGCTAGAATTGCCATCAATTTTACTTGCACAGTTCTCTCTCTGTGTGTTTTCTTCTTCTTCTTCCTCTTCAATTTCGGAAGCGAATTCCGAACTTTCTGTTGATTGAGTTACTCACTCGCTTATTTGTTTCAACGCAGCCATTGGAAACCAAATATATGAAATCAGCGTCGTCAATTGATTTGAAAAAGCAACAATTTCAGTCGACAAAGGAACGGCCCGAATTGAATCCCGTATTAAGTGCGTTGATTAACGAAGATATAAAGAAATCAATTGATGCGAAACGCCATGCCGAATACGATTTAAGTCCATTATCGGAACCATCGAAGGTGGCGGTCGAGCTCACAACAGCAGCTCCTGTTCAAACAACCGTTAAGTATATACCCAAAGCTCTAGACGACTCGGTTGTTGTGGACTCAATTGCTGGATCGAGCTCCGAAAAAAAACAGGTACTCATGAAATGACGAGAAGGAGAGACAGAAAATAATGAGAAAGAGAAAAAAAAATGTACAAAACGAATGAACTTTCTTGTAATTTAGTTTCGATAACCGAAACAAACAACGCCCGCAACGAACAGGAAAATTGTTTTCATCTCTCTTTTTTTTTCTTTAAATTGTGAACGCCAACCAGAAAACAATCTCCTTGCTTTTTTTTTAGACGTCACGAATCGAAGTTAAAAAAGGACCAAATGGTGTCGACTACGAGTACGAGTATGTATACTATTACTATGATGATGACGATAAGGACAGCAGCAAGAAATCAACAGCAGTTTCCGATGATAAATCGATTGTGAGCCAAAATGGTGGCAAAAATCGATACGACAAAATCAGCACGACACCAAAACCAAACTTCGATCGAAATGAATTGCCAACATCACGCGGCAAAGGGCGTCAATCAATTCCAGTAGTTGAAGAAACGAGCGAAGAGCGATTGCCTGTAAATACACGATTCCCACCGCGAAGCGCTGTCACACCAACCGTCCAAGTACTCAGCAATGTGGATGAAACGACGAAAAAGATAAGCATCAAACGCCCCAGCTTGGAATTAGTTGACAGCCAGTCGTTTAATCGCGGGGAGAAAGGACAATCAAAGGGATCACGTGTTTTAGAAAACGAATTTGCAAAAGCAAACGATGTAAAAACAAACGAAAATCCCACCATCATTCCAAGTGTAACCGAATTAGCGTCACAAAGTGCCGGATTGAATGATGTGACCACAGTAGCTAGCGACAGCGAAGAATCGACCACACAAATTATGGACAAAGTCGCATTGGATTTGTACGCACATTTGGTTAACGAAAATTCAAACATTGACTTAAGCACAGGCGTCACACTTTTCGAGGAGACAAGTACATCAGACAGCCTGGTAAAATCCATATCCCATTGCGATGGAAAATGCACTGCGACAGCAGCCGATCACGAAACGTATATTGAACACTAACATATCATTTTTTTTTAGTCAACGAGCACCGAGGAATTCACAACAATTGAAGCATTGACAACAACAACCACCACTTCAACTACCGAAGCACCAACAACGACTACCACAACCACAACTACCGAAGCACCGGCTCTTATTAACGGTCGTCGCCCAGCATTCGGTGCAGGTTAACATCTTTTGTTTAACTATTACGAATGCAATTTGCTATAGTCTGACAATGGATTTTCATACGTTTTTAGGTCGGAGAGCTCCATTGAAAAGCCGATCAAAACCAACCGAAACGAAAGCCAGCGTGGAAGAACCACCCAAAGAAAGCTCATCATCGGAAACCACATCGGCTCAAACCAAACCGAAAAGTAAGTCGCATTCGTTCGACGCTTCACACAACATTACGTGAATCAATTATTATTCTAAAATTGTAAAATTGATTTGTGACACCAACAAAAATAGATCGATTCTCACGCCCATCGTTCAGTGCTCGATCACGTCCAACGCCCACCGTTGCCGCTTCAACCACTTCTGTCGAAGAAGAAGCAGTAAAACAAACCACCAAACCTGTTGCAGCTGCCCCAGCACCGCGAGGCAGAAGTACTTATATTTTTATTTTTTGTTTTGTTTATTTTTGTTTCTTTTGCAAATATCATCGTACTTAATTGATGGGTTTTGAAAAAAAAAATCAAATTTTAGCACGCAACCGTTTCAACCTTCGATCATCGACCACTGCTCCAGTTGTATCGGAGGAAAAGAATCCAGACGAGAACGCTATCGATACATCAACACAAATTACATCAACACAACGACCATTGCGTACACGACCAACCTTCAATTTGCGTGGTAGATCACGAGCCGCACCCTCAAGCACGGCTGCTCCATCGGCCGAAGGAAACACTGAACCGGTCATTGCCGATGCGAAATTGGAAAGCGAAGAAAAACCATCAACAGCAGCACCATTGAAACCATCTTCTCGTTTCAATCTTAGACGGCCAAATCAATTGCTATCGCCACGTGGCCGAGTATCACCATTGGCCAAAACACCCGCTCCATCGGCTGAACAATCGGCTGAAACGAGCAGTAGCTCAACCGAATCGACAGTCGCAAGTACAACAGCTGCTGATTTGAGCAAAGAATCTCCCGCCGATGCTGAATCAGAGCAAATTGCCGCTGAGCCATCAACTACCCCACAAACTGGACTCAATCGTCTACGTAATCGGCCACGTATTCAAATCCAACCAAAAGCCCCAAGCGCAAACAAACAACCAACAGCTGCATCATACATTAATGCCAATCGAAAAGTAAACCCATTAATTTCACGTCGAAAGATTGGCTCATCAACAACGACAGGTTAGCTTAACATCTCACTTCATTCTCTCTTGTACAGTATCAATTCCAATTTCGGAGTCACACACGCATCCAAAATACCACCATTCATTAAATGGGCCAATAACGAAAATGTGTCTTTGTAAATTTTCTCGTAGAAGAAACGCCGGCGACGGAAATCAACGAAACGTCCGAAGAAGTAAAGGACCCACAAAGTGAGTCGAAAGAGCCAAGTAGCTCAGAAAATGAAGGAAATGCCAAAGAAGAGGCAGCACCTGCTTTAGTTGAAGCATCTTCCGAAGCACCTCGAGGCTTAGGTTTGTTGTTATTTAACACTCTCTAGTTTTGTCCCTTTCTCCCCCCCCCCTCCTTTCGCCTCAAGAAACACATTTACTATTGACAGATTGACAATGTGCGGCCAAACATTTATCTTATACCGTTTATCGTTTATTGTTTTAGGTCTATTAGCAAATAGAAGAAGACTGGCAGTACGTCGACCTGGTACAATACTCTAATTTAAGTTGAATTTTAGTTAACAAAAGCAATTTAACTAGAATAGTAACGATTTTATGTGTAACGTATTGAATGAATAAATCGTCGAAGGTAAAACAACAAGAACAACAACAGCAATTACAACAACAATGAGCAGAGTAAAGATGGCAAAACCATTTTGTGCATATGAAGCGAGTGAATGAAATCAAACTGATGTGAACTATTGTGATTTAATTGAAGCAAATAGACAGAAATCCCATGGAAGAGAGAGAGAGAGACACACCAATTTCAAATAATACTCAACCCGTTTAATTCTTGATATTTGTATCGAACCATTGACGTTGACTAAAATAAACAGAACAACAACAACAGCATTGAAAACCTTATTTTAAAAAGTATATTTTGTTTTAAATTGTGCCACGATTCTAGCTAAAATTATAATAAAGGAGTGAAATAAACAACAACAAAAAAACATATTGAAATTTGTTTCATTTCCCTGTGGCCGCCAAAACAAACAGCAATTACCTTGTTGAATTCATGAATAATAATCGGTAATAATCCATAAAAAGCGACCAACAATTGATGTAATTACGATTGTTTGGAGGGGGTGCACGAGTGAATGAACGCGCTAACGTGCGCCCCTACCGCAACAAAATGCACGATATTTTCCTCGACTAATTTTTCGATGCGATTCGAAATAGACTGAAATAGACACGTTGAAATAACAATTCGACTAAATTATACATTATTTTCTTGATATTATCTCTTTTCAGATGATGGCTCACAATACGACCGTACAACTAGGAGGGAACGCGTTTTTAATGTGTAAAGTTGCCGGCGTCGATAGAGTGGGTGTTAATTGGGTTTGTTATTGGTGTTGATTTTCCTCTTTGTTGTTGTGAATGTCCTTTAGATTTACCATTGAATGAAAAAAGAATCTGCACTTCCATGACTTATCTATATAGATTGCACCTCCGGCCAAAGCCGAAAGCATAGAGTTAGCCCATAATTACTTACTACATACCAAATACATAGAGCCAATACTTGAATTATTCAGCAAAAAAATAAGAAGCAGAAGAACGATTGTCAAGTCTACGATATATTATGAGTTTTATTCGTGGTATTCGCTTAAACATAAAAATATAATTTGTTGAAGCCGACGGAAAATGAGCTTAAGTTGCCATTACATTTGGATTTGTGTAGGAAAATTCTTTGAATTTCTCTTGATCCATCGCCTTTATTTGGTATGTCTCCGTTGATGGCAATCGTACCTTTTCTCTGGTATACGCCCGATCGAAGTACCGTGTATCTAACGGGTGTTTCTGAAAATGTGAATGACAAAACCAATTCCAATTTCACATTATTCATTCAAGTGAGCTGACTCACAAATGCAATGAGGGAGCAAAGCAAGAATGAACATTGAATGCGACACAAAGGTGAAGAAAAATGAAGGCAGAAGAGCGCAGAAAGTCTTTTCGCCTTATTTTTACACCAAAATTCAACACAGAAAAAGAGAGAGAAAGACATACAAGAAAAGTTTCGCTTACAATTTCTGGCTTGAACGGTGACTCCAATTGTCTACGCTCCAATTTTTTCCAATCGATCTCATGAAAAAAGACATTTTCTTTAATTTCACCAAGCGGACTGTTTGGTAAACCCAATCTGGTATTTGGATTTTTGTCTAACAACTTTCAAAGAAGAAGAAGAAGGAGAAAAAAATTGCCAATGACTCAAATGTTAATTCGATTTCCATCAATAATAAAGCGTCAGCGATTTATTTGACACTTACTTTGCCTAATATATTCACGGCATCGTCACTCAGGTAGAATGGATACCATGGACTCTCATAACAAATTGACCAAAATAAAGCGTCCTCGTCGCAACCACTGAATGGCGTCTGACACGTTAACATTTCATATAATAGCACACCAAAAGACCACCAGTCGGTCATTTGATTATATTTTTGACCCTGAATAAAAAAAGTAAACAAAAGGCATTTATCATCGACGAAGATTGGATGAATGCATGAAATGCGATAAAATTATGGAAACATATACTATTCAATCGATTCTTTAAATATCAGATCAATTTAAATGTGAATATTTGATGAAACGTTAGCAATGAGCCACATTTAACACTTCAACACTAATGGTTTTGGTCTGATAATAAAACAGACACACGCACGCAAGCACTCTTGGCTCTCAATTTCACATAGCAACCATACCCGTATAATCTCTGGCGAAATATAGTCGGGTGTGCCGCAAAAGCTTTCAGCCGTTCGATCTAAATAAATCTGTAGTTTGCACATGCCGAAATCGCCAATTCTCACATGGCCATCGAAATCCAGCAGAATGTTGTCTAATTTTAAGTCGCTAAAAACACCAAAAGTATTGAGAGATAGAGAGAGAGAGAGAGAGAGAGAGAGAGAGAGAGAGAGAGAGAGAGAGAGAGAGAGAGAAAGAGTTGACAGACATTAACAGTAATATAGTATGTGTTTGCCATGAGCCACTTTTACTTCTAGTCCAATGAAACGGATCGCTTTGCCTGATCCTGACATTTTCCAATAAAGAGTGAAAGGGAAAAATGAGTGGCTGACAGCAGCCATAGCAGGAAAAAAATTATTGCTTCTGCATCGCAAGTGGGCGATGTTGTGTCGTTAGGTATTTTTATATGCGTTCATTTATTTTTATCAACTAATTTTATGTACATCTTCGTCAAAACCCATAACCCGTCAAAGCGGCAAACACAACGAATAGAGAAAAAAAGGAAAATGAAAGAAGAGAAGAGAGACGGAAAAACCACCGACGAAAAGTATGAAAATCAAGCGATGCACAAGCTAACATACAATGAAAGCCACATTTTATCGGAAGGTCTCCTGATGTTTTTACAAACTTTGATCAAGTTTGTCTTTTTTAGATTTCTTTTTGAGTTTCACAACGAATGAAATTAATCCATTGGGACAAATGATTGTCATGGCTTTGTTTTTCTTTCTCTTCTGCTTCACGTTGAGCTAGCTCGTTCGTTCGCATATTCAATGCTCCGCTTTCGCTTCAAGTCGGTTCGGTTCGATTTGCTAAGCCGTAGTTTCATTGGAACATCCAATTCGTAACAGGAGACATGCAATCCATCGTTTTTTATGTTGTTTTGTTTTCGTGTTGTGTCGTTGTTTTGTGTCATCACAACAATACATACCGATAAATGATTCCCTTCTTATGTAAAAATTTCAATCCCGATACGATTTCGGCGCCAAAGAATTTCGCCTGATATTCCGTAAAGCGACCGGTCACTTGAATATGAAACATCAAATCACCACCGCTCAAATATTCCATCACATAAAATAGATGGCTCTAGATAAGAGTGGAAAAGAAAAACAGAAAAGACAGAATGAAAACGAGAACGAGATGGAGAACGTGTTGTATGGAAATTGACATTGTCGCAAATCGGGGTAATCACAAGTCAATTTTAGCGTTTTACCTCTGTCTGAAAAGTGCAAAACAAATGGCACAGATACGGATGCGCAGTGCCCATCGTTAGAACTTTGCGCTCAGTAAACGGGCAATCGACATCATCATTTCTAATTAAAACGTCCTTTTTGAGACATTTCACTGCATAATAATACTCCGTGTTTCGAAGCTCAGCCAAATATACCTGCAAACAAAAACCGACAACCAAAAGAGCAGCACCAGCAACATCAGTGATAGAAAGAAAGACATAAAGTGTAAATTACCATAATGGTGGCAATGCATTTTCAATATTTTCATTCGACAAACAAAATGTTCCAAAAGTTCTCTTGGTGTGTACATACTTTTCCGAAGCTTCCCGTGCCTAGCACCGTCAAGAAGTGAAAGTCATCCACTATGTAGGTCTTAAAATGAGGTAGAGTCATTGCGGGTGGCATGAATTTGCCTGTGCGTTGATACTGTGCATAGGTGAACGATGTTTCTAGTGGGAATAAACGGGGGATTATTTGAATCAAACTTTTCTATCTATTTGCTTCGCTTCCATACGGCCGGAGATCGAACGAACAGCCAAGAGCAAAGGAACGAGAGACGAGTCAGAGTAAATTTAAAATTCAGTGATTTTATTTGAGGGATGATTTCTGTTGGTTTTCGGATGTGGACATTTCTCTCAATCAGCCTTCGGCACGCCTCCGCCCTTCCGTTGTCACAACATTCTCATTTCATGATTAAAACATTCGGTATTTCGTTTTCGCTGGATGTATAGGCAAACACACGATGACACCGAATACAATCGTCTCTCTGATTGAAGTATTAGAGCGATCCCATGAACAGAGCATGAACGAGAGCTGAAGTTCGAGCGAAATCGGATACCGAGAGAAAGACAACCAATGTATAGCCGCCAAGATAAAGCTTACATCAGCCACAAAACACTCAGCAATGCCATAAGAAAATGAATATTTAAAGTCTACTGATGTTCTTTCCCTAACAAACCAATTATACATTGACATTATCAGCTGTCTCATCTATGTATGGTGTTGCATTAAGTATTCAATCCGATAAAAAATCATGTAGCTTTCTTCGGGGCGATACCCGATATATATATATATATATATACATATATATACATGTATACATATATTGTGTGGCTCGACTCGACTTCGGCATCGGCGTGTTTGGTGTTCGGTGTTCAATGTTCAAATGTTCGTCAACATTGAAGAGGGTCTAACCAAACGGGAAAAGCGAGTAAATTAATCAGAATTGTGTACATCATCTGTATGAAAAACACGAAACATGAGAGAGATAGAGTGAGATACATGCGATAAAAGAACAAAAACCATCAATTTTGGCACACTCAATTCCCTTGACCATCACAATGAAACGTATCGGATTCACGTTCGCATGTAATTGCTTTTGAAATTCAATTTTGAAGCCAGTTCAAGGTTGAAAACATGACAAAAATTGTTGTGTGTCGCTTTTGACGTGATACTTTTGAGATTCTTTCGCAAGCGAATTCGTAATAAAAATAAATCATCAAATCTACAAAGCCGCGGCAACAATCTTCAATCGCAATCAGCATCTCGTACATTCCCGCCTCCCTTCTCAAATAAAACCGCAAACCTACAGTTTGAATATGCAGTGCATGTTTCTGCACTCGATTTACAATGCTTGCAAATAATTTGACTGGCTAATTATAACTGCGCTATATTTCAAGCGATGGCATTAAACCCGGAACAAGCGAGAACAAATCGTTTGAAATATTACAATCGGTAACGCATTACATTAATTTTCGTTTGATGGCAAAAGTGTCAAATTTATCATTTGATCGAAAGAGTTTGTCTCGGCTCTTTATTAATTCTCACGAGCTCAATGTTTTGTGCCGCAATAAATGCTTCACATGTGTGGCTCCTCGCATTTGGATTTCCCTCGGCTCAATACCAGCAAAACAAAATGAAATGAAATCTACACACTGCCTCGTCGGTGCTTTGTTCTGTCATACCATCCCATCCCAACCATCGTACTCATCCTTTCCATCGTTATCTCCCTGTGTAACTCTCTCTCTCTCTCTCTTTCTCTCTCTCTACCACTTTCACCATCTATTTTGCACTGTTTTCAGTCTATCTCTCTGTAGCGGGGCTCGCAATTCGCTTCACCAGTGTGTGTCTATGTGTGCTATTATCATTCTAGCTCATGCAAAAATATTTTCATGCGACGCAGAATCATTCACAATCTAACCCGTTTGGCCCACATGAGCGAATGTATACTTATATATATATATATATATATTATATATATATATATATATGCCTCTTCCGCTAGGAAGCATACGTTTTGATGGCTTTTGTTGTTGTTGTTGTTGTTACTATTGCTACTGTTGCTGCCGTCGTTGTCGTTATTTTATTTCACCGCACACACATATTCACTCATCTGCATACACATACAGACACAAACACTGTTCACCTCCTCTTCTTCATTTTGACTCCGCGTTTGCCATTGCCTTTTGCATTGTTTTTACTTGATTTTGTTCGGTTTTGTTTTGTTTTCAATATGTAGATGCGCTATTTGTTTGGCTGAATACACAATATACACTCAATGCGTGGTGTATTCATGGCTTTGAAAAATGAACTCGTTGTGATTCGCATCGTAACGAAAATTTTCAGTTTACAATCTCGTGCATCTCGTGCATGTTAACCCATTGCCTTATTGCTTACATCTATTTAAGTTGTGAATCATTTTAACGTGACTTCAATAAGATGAATATGTGATGCATATCATGCGGAAATTTACCATTTTATTGGCATTGTTCAGATACCGATATCAATACCAATATTTATAGATTCGAAAGGAAAGAAGAAAGAGAAAAAAAAGTTGAAGGAGAAAGAGAAACTGAGAGCAAGAGAGAGAGAGAGAGAGAGAGAGAGAGAGAGAGAGAGAGAAAATGAAAGAAGAAGAGAAAAAAGGCAGGAAAAAGATCCACGTACATCAAATATGAGACTTCGTGCATGCGAATCTTTAGAAATTACAATTTCAATAAGTAATCCCACTTAACGATTGATTTTTTCGATTTTTCGGTCGTGCTTTTGCTCTCTCTCTCTCTCTCTCTCTCTCTCTCTCTCACACACACACACACATTCTCTCACTTCCTCTCCCATTCACTTTCTTCTTTATAACGACGCGAGCGTCTTCTTTCAACCGGGATTTCAGCTAGCTACTTTATTTCAGATTCCATCAGTCGTCGAAATTCCGACTGAAAAATAAAAACACGTCAAGCAACTTTATCGCTTTTGCTCTCTATTTCTCTGTCTCTCTCCCTCTCCCGGCTAAAGTGATTTTCAATGAAGCGCAAAAATTCCACACACACACAAGCCACAAGAATGTTTCTGTTTTCCGGCTCATGCAGCCGGGTAACTAAGTTCACTTAGCAACATTTTTTCTGTCTGTTTTTGTGTGTGTGTGTGTGTGTGTGCAGAAATAATCATAATTTTTGTGAGCTAAGAATTTTCTACTTAGAACTTATTAAATATTCATCGTGAAACATTGATGGCAAAGTGCTGTCCGGATATTGAATAGGAGGAGTACATTATATGCGCATCACAGAATGCATCCTCTTATACGGATGCTTTTACTCTCTATCTCGCTCTCCTTCGCTTGCTCCCACTCTCTGGCCGGCTCATTCTATTCCATCTCTTGATAATATTTCTTGGGATATTTAGTTAATATTCATGCGAGTTTAAACATTTTATGTTTGGTTGAATTTGAGCATTCTTTTTGATATGGGTCGATCGGTCAGTGTTTCGGTTTTATTTTATCTTCTCTTTTTTTGCTCCGCTCGCTCGTGCTTTTCCTATTCTGTGGTTTTTGCTTTGTTGTTTTGCCTTACCGAGCATCTTTTTTGGATTGGCCGGAGCCGTTCCACCACCTTCAAAGCCCGAATCACTGCTGCTTGAGCTCATGCGAATCAATTCTTTGCTCGCCGTTAGACTAGAGACCATGTATCCCGTGTTGAATTCAGCGTCACTGCTCAGCTCCTCACTTTCGGATTCACTTTCACTGTAGTAATGAAAACGCTTCTGTAACTGACGAGGCGTTGCAATAATCGGATATCGCGGTGTTTCATCGACCACAAAACATTTACGCTTATGATCTAATTTCACCAAACGTTTTGGATCGAACTTTTGATTGTTCTTCTTCTTATGGCGGCGTTTCAGACCCATCTTTCTCTCTTTATCGCTATCTCTATCTCAGACGAGCTCACTATCTCTCTCTCTCTCTCTCTATTTATGCACCACTTTTTCGATCCACTATCGTTCCGCACGATTAAGCGCGCACAATGCAACGTGTGTATTTGATTCGAAAAACAATCAAAAACTAAATTATGAAGTGGATTAATTAATTAATTGATGATGAGAGTTGAAACGTTGAATGTTCGGTCGTCGTCGTCGTCGTCGTCGTCGTCGTAGTCGTAGTCGTCGTCGTCGTCGCCGTCGCCGTCGTTGTTGTGAAACACTCTCGCACCGACTGTGACTGTGCACGATTTTGTGATGCATTTTCGGGCGCATCATTTATAAAGTTGTAACTAGTTTGAATTATTTGCATGCCGTTATTGTTTTTTTTACCTTTATACAATCGTAAATAAATATGTTGATTCATTATCATAACTGTTTTCTGATCGTGTTTACTAATTCGTCTTGGCAACTTATCAGATCGGCTACAAACTTTTAATTGCAATTTTATCACGCAACGCAATCAAATCGTTGCCAATTTCGAGAAATGCCCTTTCCTCGCGCGCGTGTTCGCTTTTGTGCGCGAGTTCGTTCTCACAATCCGCGCGCTTATACTGTTTGTTGGATGGTTGAACAGGTGTGTTGACTTTTTTTATCGGCATTACTTGTGGCATTCATTTTGAAATATAGAAATGTGCTTAGTTCATGTGATACATACTCACACACACACACCCACAAAGAAGTACGCTAAAACGACTTGTAAAAATGTTGTAAACGCGAATCCGTTCCAATGACGCATATTCACTCGGTTATTTGCTTGGCTCTGCGTTTTTCTGACTTGGCACTTTTTTTATTTCGTACGTTGCTCTGGTTGGCATTCCAAATACCGGGACAAAATGGTGGAGACATAGAGACAAAAAATCAAATTTTTTGACACTATTTACGGGTCGTTCAGCTGCATTCGTTCGTTTGTTCTTTCATGCAATGAACATGTGCACCAAATTTATTATTCGATGATTCCATTTGCATTTATGCTCGTAGCATATTGCATGATATACCTTCTGTCCTTGTTATATCCTGGCTCAAGTGACAACACACACACACTCTTTAGAATAATTCACTTGTTTTTTTCCCCTTTCGGTTTGTTTGCTGATATGACAACCTAGATTTTTATAGAATTTTTTCTCGTTTCTGTTTTTTTTTGCTTCTTTCTGGCGTTATGTTTGGTTGGTTTTTGTCGCGCTCTCGTTTCGTATGCCAGAGAGTGTGAACAGTGCAATAAAATTCCATTGCCGCATGCCGTTTTGAATACATTGTTTTTAAATTAAAATGTTTGTCGTTTTTTTTTCGATTCAAAATCTCAAATCTCGCCGCTGTTGATGGCGACCTTTATCTGGCTTTACTAATTCTAATTAAAATGTTTCTTAAATAATCACGTGGCACAGAATCAAATATCGTGGATTCGACGAAGAGACTGGCATATATTGTCTTCGGGGGCCCAAATGTACACGAACGATGAGAGGTTTGCCATATTACATACACCTGGCTCGAATACGTGGACACTGCAAATAAAATTCGTTCAGCGTCGCGATCACGGCATGTATGAATGTCAAGTAAGTAATTTTTGTCTATCTCACATTGTGTTTAACCATTAAGACGACGAAAAAAAAATGAATCCGAATGACGCTGTCTCTTCTGCACTCGCACAAGACTATTCGGCGAAGGTAGATTTCAACGGTTTTCCTTTTTTTCGTCATCATGCAAACGATTCTGCTGATGTGTTAAAAGCACGGCGTCGACTTATAATTACAATTAAAATGGCTTTCGATTATAACAATAATAGTAATAATTATTATTATTTGAAGAGTGCCACATGCACTGACGCTGTCACTGATCTCAATGGAAATAATTGTTTCGTATTTTCTCTCCGTTTCTATCTCTATGTCTGTATGTGCTTTTTACTGCCTTTTCATTGACGCCTTTGTGTTTGTTTGCGTTTCTTTTTGTATTCGTGCAGGTTTCCACATCGACAGGAGTTATATCGCATTTCGTAAATCTGCAAGTTGTTGTTCCTGAAGCATTCATCCTGGGATCTGGCGAATTGCATGTTGATATGGGATCAACAATTAATTTAGTTTGCATAATCGAAAAGGTGAGTGCGTTTCCGAATTATGACAAGAACTGAAAAAGGCATAGATTAAACAAACACTGACACATGCACAAAAGAAGAAATGTAATATATTTGTGACATGGAGATGAATTTCCATAATATAGAAACGCTTTTTCCATTCTTCATCTGTATTATCCATATTTCCATAATGCATTCGATCAATGAATCGACGGAGAACAAGAGCGAAGCCAAAAGCGCCCCATCGCACACATAACAAAACCACAGACAACCGGGGCGTACAAAGAGTGTACCGAAAGCGATAATCTGACGATAAAGCAAAGAGAGTCTTTTTTGTTTTTAGCTCTCTCTCTCTCTCTTGTTCTTTGTATGTTCTTCTCTTCATCTGAATTTGACACCATTGAAAAAGCAAAATGAAAACCTCCATCTGTTGCTAGAGATATCTGTTTATGGAGTCAGCTACTGAATAATTTGTATCAATTTACAATAATGAGCACAAAAGGCGACTGTAAAATTTACTTACACTGATTTTCCGGCCGAACGAAGTTCAGAATTCGTTATGCGATTGGCCGTACACTTCGGTGTATCGTCACTAAGCGGTGCGTTGGTGACACATTTTCTAATGAATCAAATCAACATTTTGGTTGATGTCTGCCACCCGTTTCTGGTACACACGGGCCGAATATGTGCGTATGAAATTGACTGAGTAAATGGTGACCGTGTGCTTTGATTATGATACGCAATACTGGTCGACTCGACTCAACTCGGCTCGACGATACCATACGCATGGAACATGTATTAGATGATAAACGATTTCATCCAAAATTCCAATTTATTTGAATCTGTTTCGACCTTCGCTTTTGGAACAAATCCCATAAGGGTTTTTCTACATATTTTCACCGCATCTCGTTACCGTTCGCCATAAAATTTGATCAAATTAATTTTTGAATAACTTTTCGTTCGCTTAAGAAGCGAACTATCGCTCTCTCTCTCTCTCTCTCTCTCTCCCCATACCTCCATCCCTCTCTCTTTGATGCCACTACCGCTGCCGGTATCATCATCATCACCGCCACCATCGGGGCATACTTAGGTGGTGCGGGCGTCGTGAGCAACTCACATGTACACATATACACATGTTTAAAAGTTTTTCAATATTCTTCTCACCTGCCAACCGCCGTTTTCTCGAACAACAAAATACGATAATAATAAGCTTTTATAAATATCGACACTAATTTTTGCGGTGTAAATCTCACTCTTTCTCTCAGTCCTTGGCGGCGTTGCGCTCACGTGTGCGAAGCATCTTAAAGGAAATTTCTTTATAAATAAAGCAATTCCGTCTTTGAAATAGAAGCAGGTAGTAAGTATATGACTACATATGTTGAAAAACGTGCGCATTTAACCACTTTCGACGAGATCGAATAGGGAAAATGCAACAACACAGAGAACACCGCTAACAATTATAACAAGAATGCCGTAGCGCACACAGGAGCTGATCCATACATACACAAAGAGAGAAAGAGAGGGAGAGATGAACAGGAGAGACAGAGGAAGAAGAGAGAGAAAAAAAACCTTTGTATCAACAGAATCAAAATCAACGAAGCGTAATTTTTCAGCACATTACACCTTTTAAAATACACCTACAATTTATCGATTTTATTTATTGCCAGCTTTATGGCCCCACGTTATAAATATATTCGTCATCACGGCTCAGATAATTTCTTTGAAACTCCACAATCATTATACACACGCTGATAGGTATGGTGTGTACCAATATTTGTGTTATGCGATAAATACGTAGTAATAATAACCGTAATATGTAATAATAATAGCGTCGAATTTTCAACAACCCGGACGTCTGCTGTTCATATTATTAGTTCAACATCCTTTGGATCGAAGCATGATGTGTACCAGAGTGTACCAAATCAGAAAAAAAAGAACGAAAAAAAAATTATGCACCGAGCGCACGCCAATCTATGGAGCTATTGGGAGCGATTGGGATGCTTTCTGCTCTCTTCGTGTGTTCCAAATAATAGTAATAACAATAATAATAGTGCATTCCGAAGTTGGGAGTAGTTAAGCTCGCAAAAATTCTCGCTTATTTTTATGGGGTGCTCATTTTTCCTCGGTAAAAGGTTTTCGTTCGTTTGCTCGTTCGCTCGCTTTCAATACTCCGCCATCCGTCCATCGTTTTCGCATCCACAAAATCAAATTGCAATGATTTCGAATGATTTGTTTGTTCAATTTGTACAACCACTACACAAATGGGTAATATCGTGTGATATGTGCGAATGTTAAAAGAGGGAAGGGGTACTTCGAATCTCTTTTTTTTCGTGCTCATTCATTTCTCTCTCTCTCTTTCTCTTTTTCGTTTTCGTTCTCATTCTCATTCTGATTCGGTTTCTGGTTGTGATGCCGATTTTGCACTCTCTTCACCCACCCCAACCGTCCCAATCACTCATTGCTATTCTCTCATTTTATTGACTTAAGGATGGCATGGTATATTTCATGACAATTAAAATGAAGTGAATGGAATTTGAATTCGTTTTTCCTCTCTTTGCTTTGTTCTACTACTTGTCATCACGGAAATAAATAGAGTCCAACACCGCCGCAATACGTATATTGGCAGAAGAACGACAGGATGATTAACTACGATGATTCACGTAGGGACATTACTATAGATACAATACCGGGCCTTAGAACACAAAGCCGCTTAATTATACGTGAGCCACAAATATCGGACTCGGGAAATTATACTTGCAGCGCATCCAACACAGAGCCAGCATCGATATATGTGTTCGTCTCAAAAGGTATGTACTTTTGGTAATTTAGTACATTGATATGCTGGTATTTATGTGTGTGAGTGTGTGTGAGTGTGTGCGTATTATATGTGGCCATTTTATTCCACCAAAATCATGGAATGCGAATATTTCAAGTGATTTTTGATTATTTCACGGTCTTTTTGCATTACGAATGGATAGACTATAACTCACTTTTAGGCCATCGCATGCTCTTTTGTATTCACGCAAACCCATATACACACTGAGAAAAACTTTTCTGAAACGATCACAGATGGCGTTTGTAAATGGTTTCTTTCCAAACTTTTTTATATGAAGGTTGCGAATTGTCCAACTTTTTCGGTGATATCGTATTGCAGAAAAAGTTTGACAATTCACAACCTCCATATAAAAAAGTTTGGAAACTAACCATTTACAAACGCCATCTGTGATCTTTTCAGAAAAGTTTTTCACAGTGCACACATACACAAACACTTCGGATTGAAATGCTATTTGCAGAAGATCAAGTGGCTGCAATATAGAGTTTACATTCGATTTCGAATGCTGATATCGACGGACTGATTTCGGTTGCGATATAACGATTTTGCAATACATTACATTAAGTAGAGCCATTAAATCCAATTTATGCATAACTCATTCGTCAGATGAGAAAATGTATTGAAATGAAACGAAAACGAAACAATCGCTAGCTACATATTGCAAACCATTGCTAATGTGCACCATATTTGTATAAACATCGCAAGCCGAAAAACAAAGATAACAACAACAATAGCCGCCACAGCAGCAGCAGCCGTAAAAAAAGAATGAAAAAATATTAAACCAGAAGCCGCTCTCCAATGAAAAAGACAACGTATAAAAAATGCGGCTGTTTCAAATTACTTCAAATATTGGTTTGCGTGGTTTAATAACCACTAGTTATGCAGCCACTAATGGCATTATACACACAAATAATTTTGATATTTTCCAATGGCATTCCAACATTGTTGCAATAACTTCTGGGTGCTCGCATTCGAAGCAACCGAACAGCAACGGCAACGGCAGCGGTAATATTAAATTAACGGGCCGACGAATACCAATTGGTTTCAAACTGTCCAATTGCTCAATGAGCTAATATTTAATCGGTAAATTGTGAATCGACTCGCCCATAATCCAGCAAATCGGTTTATGTGACTTTCCCAATTGCAACGTGGCGCAATATTCGCTCATTCTCCCTCAGTAAGTGAACGGCTGGGAAAAAAACTGACACCAACCGCACACAGAAAATAAATGTCGAACAGCCGCCGATGACCCATTTCTTTCGATTACCTAAAATTAAAATCACTGAAATTGAATCTGAGTTTGGTGAACAGTTGAAAAATTCAACATAAACCGGAAAATTGCAGAGAAAAAAATCGAATTGACACTGCAAGTGAACCGCAAAACAGAGCGAATCGCGTAAAAAATGAAAATATAAAAAAAATGAAGAAAAAAATTGCAACCAGTTCCAGTTGACTTTATCGTTTCACAATTTATAAGTTGTCATGAATTTCGAACTTTCAGGAGACAATATGGCTGCTATATCCAGACGAAAGCCAATAACGGGAACAAATTCTGCTGCTCAACTGAAATACTTCATTGAAAATTTATACGTTTCAAGTGCACTGCTCAATGTACTGATATTCAGGTAAGTTTTGTTCCGCTCCCATTTTCCGTTCATTTATTATTTCTATTTTTTTCTCGCTATCGTTCTCGTTATTTTCATTGTTTTTTTTTTTAATTCCTTGCTCCTTTTCTTCTCTCACTCACTCGTCTATTTTTTTTTAATTAATTGTATGTATATGAATGAGCGCCGGGCGCTCATTAGACGTGCTGGGTCAAATCAAAAACTTCATTTTTCATCATTAAGTGTGTTCATACCGCACGTCAGCACGGTCTTCTCAATTCCAATTGACTGATTCCCAATTTTTTCTTCTGTTCTTGCTCTTTGTTCGCACTATCTGGTTAAATGTGTGCTTTTACATTTTCCGAAAAGGATATAACATGTAGAGAAAAAAGGAAGCGCACGCGAACGAAATGCGAAACTTTGATAATTGCAAAAAAGAAAAATAAGAGGACGAGTGAAGAAACCATAAAATCGATAGCCTCTGTTTTTTTTTTATTATTTCATTCCACTCTTCGTCGAAACCGTTCGAAATTAGTTAAGAGCAGCTAGCTCAACCTATTCGAAAGTTTATGGCCCCAATGCACAAATTGCAAGCTCCAGTTTTGGGAGAGAAAAAGTCTGGAACAATAATAAAGTTTTCAATTTATACAAACTTAGCACGGAACAATGGACTTTCCGACTCGTCAAACACTATCGCCCAAACACCTCCCCCTCCACGAAAAAAAAAAAACAAGAAAGAAAACTAAGCTCAAGCTCTCTATATAGCGCTTTTATTTCTCTGTCTCTCTGATTTTCTTTGCAGATTCTGGTAATGCACTTGAATGAAATCATGCGAATCTCCGTTACGTGTACCAAGATTCAACCAAGATATTAAATAATAAAAATAGTATCAAATTTTAGATTAAATTTAGTTTCTAAGTTTCAAATGAAGATAAACAAGTGAAAATGGAACACTTTTATGTAAAAATTCAGACAAACAAAAAGAAAAACAACCAAAATAAATAAATTGAGAGATGAACAATTTCATCGTTTCTAAACCAAAAACTAAAAAACATACCGAAAAGGTGAATGTGGAGCAAAATTAAGCAGATGATTTTTTTTTATTGTTATATATAAATTATTGTATATGAATTAATTTATTGATCTCTATTTTTCCGAAACCAAAAACAAACAAAAAAAAACACGAAAAAAAAAACTCTAATTTATTGATAATTGTGAAAATTAAACACATACCTTTACCATCCAGACTATTGGGTTCAAAACATAACACAGAAGAAAAAAAAAACTTTTATGAGAATGTTGTAGTTTTTTTCTGCATATAAACCTTTCGATTTCTCGAAAGGCAAAATAACGATGAGACAGAAGATAACATGGACAGCACCGAGGACGCACCAGAAATCGGATGGAGACTGCAAGGAGTGAGAAGTTCTAAGTTTAAAATATACGGTTGGCTTTAATGACAACAAATTATAACAATTCGTTATACTAGTGAATGAAGATAAATGGTCACACAAAGTTTCTCATAGAGAAGAGTAAAGAAAAACAAATTTATTGTAACAAATTCTACATATATATTGAAAATTTATTTATACAATGTAGCCAATAATGAGCATCAGAGTCAGAGAAACAAGATGATAAAACAGAAACACAAAGAAACTCTGAACGTTTACTCTTTGTTACATCATTCAACTTATGATGAAAGACACTGCATTTAGAAATTAAAATCTTGTCCATTTCTCATTGAATAATTGCGTTAGAATGATCGGTCAAACAGAGAGATACACTCACTTCCACACACACTCACTCACACACAAACACATACACCGCCGGAAATTCCATATGCATTCTAGTGTACCTGACCAACACTAATTGGATACATTCGGCTGGAAGAAAATTTATAGCGAAAAAAAAGACTTTTCGCTGCATCTAAGACCATCTAAATACATTCCATCAAACAATTTCTATAGTCGAACAGTGGTTGTATTCAACGTTCATTTAAGTTATGTTCATATAATAAGAAGCAATAAGTTGAAAATATATATATAGAGGAGAAAAAAAAAAGAAATATATAAAAATATATAAATATATATACACATGATGATGATGTATCTATTCACAACTGGAGCAGTTGGAATGTGAATAAAAAAAAAGCAAGTGTTTTTGACTATTATCGTTTCGAAAGACTGAGTTATCAAGAGAAAATAACACAACAAAAAATGAAGAATATTTTTTATTATCAAAATAATGTGAATGGCCGAAGGCTATTGGATGCTCGTAATTTTTATCGGACATTCGTATTATATCGATGTATAACATGATGATTGTTCTCTCGTTTTCCACCCTCCCTCCCTCTCTCTCTGTCTTCTGTTTTGCATTAAGTCCATGCGTTATTATCATTAAAAATGTTTTATTTATTGATTCAAATAAATATTTACACACGCCGAATGAATCAAATTATGGATATTTTCCACATACCATTGCCATCATATATATTTATGTACAAAATGTTTTTGTGAAAATGTCCTAACTATTTTCCACTGCCTGCCCCGACCGAATCAACGAAGCATACACATTTGTATTCATTCGCATTCGAATTCGAATTCGAATTCGAATTCGAATTCGTAAATACGACAACACCTAGGGGGATTTCTCAACCAAAAAGTTTGAGCAAATGTGCAAAAATTTCTATTATTTCTTCTTTTTTATTGAAATTGTATGAAAATGTACTGAAATGACGATTTTGCTTGAATAAAAGTGTTGTGGAAGTGGGTTTTGGAGGATCCTCAGGATGGACCAGATCCGGTTTGAAATTGCCCTGGCCCATCCTGAAGATCCACTTCCAGAACCGGGAGCAGTTCTGAACGATCCTTGAGATCCACCAAAACCCAATTCCAGAACAATTTCATTGAAGCATAATTCAAAAGCTCAGTGTAAATGTAATTTACACGAATTGACAAAAATTGATCGAATCGGACCGAATTGAAGAAATTTTTCAAAATTTATAAGAATTCATTCATTTTATTCGTGAGAAATCCCCCTAGGAGAACACATATAAAATGAACACATGAACACATCCATACTTAACTAAACACATACATAACATCCATTGATTCCATGAGAAAAATGAAAAAGGGCCAAGCCACAAAAACAAAGACGATGAAGAAGAAGAGATAGACAAATAGACCCATACTCGAAAATTACAGGTTCACAAAAACACCAACTAATATGATGATTGTACATGAAAAATGGCGATTCGTTCGGTACGATGACTGTCCTTTTTTCCCCTTATACGGCAAACCTATCGCATTGAAACCCAATTGCCATCAAAGCTAAAAAGAAAAATGGATTTAATCATCTGAACAAGTTTGAGAATGATGATCATACCAACGACCAACGATTAGTCAACTTTTCTCAAAATGAATGAAAGAAAAAAAATGTTCTGACACCGCAGTCAATGAGAGAGTATGTCGAATGTAGTGTTCCGTGTCTGTATGCCTGTGGATTGCAACAACATAGCTTACATGCTAACAACAACAACGACATCAACAGCAGCAACAGCACACAAACAAGACATACAAACCAACACGCTATTATACTGTCGTCTCATCGGATGTGTGGCCAGGTTAGTCAAGGAAAAAAAAAATCTGTAGGAACTTTGATAAGCTTAAAAGTTATAAGCGTAAATCCTATTAAAAGACGTAGGAAAATGTTTATAACACGTACGAAAATGTTAAGACATACACACAAAAAAACATAGACAAAAACAAGAAAAAGAACAGATCAAAGAAAATAATAAGAAGACAAAAAAAAGAATCGTATGATACATCTCACTTAACAAACATACATATTTACGATAAAAATGACATTTTAGCGAAATTAAAGTAACATGAATTAATTTGATGATGAGGAAGAGAAAGAAGAAGAAATACATACAAAACCCATTTAATTGAATGATGACATGTACGAAAGAAGAAGAAAAAAATGAACATTGTTTTTAGCGAATTATAAACATACGAGCAAAAAAGGTCGGATTTATTAAAATAATTGAATGAGAGAAGAGAAATAAAATCATTTAAACAAAATGTATAAGTAAATAGTCGTTTAAAAGCATACACTAACAATCAGTCGACATAATTTCATTAGTATAAAACCCCAAAAATGCATGTATGTATGAGAAAATAAGTTGAACAAAAAAAACAAATCAGCAGCAACAACAGCCGTAGTACATTATGAACACATACATGTATTTGAAATTATTTATTGAGTGAATCAGAATCTAAGCATGTCTGTCGTGCGCGCATAAAACATGAACATCTCGGAAAATTAAATAAAATTCTAGGTCCCTGCATGTGGCAAACGCAAGCAAAAAAATATACGCGTACGTTTCGACGAAATGCAAACAGAAAAAAGAAACAACAAAAAAACACCGAACCAAATAAATATCCGACGGTATAAAATGATTAATTATTATGATTGTGCTATGTTTATAGCAAATTTTACGACCAATATGGTATATATTTTACCCGTTGAACCGTCAACTCTTTCAATGAAATTCTTTCCCCTTCTATTTCCATCTCTCACTCTCTACATATAAAATAAATCAATCTCTCTCGTGCTCTCTCTCACACATACACACTCTCTCTCTCTCTCTCTCTCTCTCTCTCGTTTCCATACAACGCAACACACAAACAAACACACTCAATTTCCTATATGACATCCAATCTGTGGAAATGGAAATAATATATTAATTCGCAAAAAAAAGGTTATTTATATTTCGAAAGCAAGTCACACTTGATGACGATATTTCAACCCGATGTTCATTGTATTTCGCATGAGTTTATACAACAGATTTTTCAGAGTAAATAGATGATAGATTGGAAAATCGCAAACCAAAATGATGACAAGTTTTCCAAATAACAAATTTAGACACAAATCTAACAACCACAACAATAACAACAATAACAACAACAACAACAAAAATTTAAAACATTTTCTATGTAAATATTATAATAATTAGATTCTATTTAAATTTTAAATGCAAAACCAAAACTGAAACAGAACAGAAACTACTAATAAAAATGAATTGCAATGATTCAAACGTACCAAAATGAAGAAAAAAAAAATACAGAAAATGTCTTAATTTGTATTTTATTTGAATGGTTTAATTCGGTGAATCAACAGTATATTAAGAGCATCAGCAGCAGTAGCAGTAGCAGCAGAAGCATCATCATCTGCAGCAGATCGTTTAATTAAATATAATTATTTGATATTCGGAGCGATTTTATTTTCCACTTAGCTTCGTGGGATTTACACTTATTTCCATTAACATATTAATGAACATTGAGCACTCACTCTTTGAGTGTATGAAGGTACAAATTATGACACGCAGGTGATTTTTTTTTACCTTCTCCAACTCTATTCATTTAACCGAAATGAGCTTTGTGGAAAAGAAAAAAGAAGATGAATGAAAGAACGTTTTTCAATTTTTCTTCCATTTGAGTGAATTTGATTCCGTTGCACAGAATACAATTCTTTCTAAACTTCTTTAATTGAACACTTTAAAAAAACTTGACTTATATCTAAATATGTTTTCATTCACAGTGCCCGTCATGCGTTCTGGTGTTCCATTTGAAACTCGATAAATGGTTGGCTGATGAAGCAACCAATTTCCTTGAAGAATTTTATTTCAATTGACCATTTCTTCCATTTTAGTTGATGTTTCAGTTCGATGTGACTTTTGGTCTTCATGCCTGTTGTAAAAATGTCATCGTGTATCTTTTTATAGAGACATTCCAACCAGAATTGAACATCAAACCACTTACCCATCACGAAATACCTTCATTTCCACATAATTTAAGTGTTTCTTTAGAGTCCCAATTTTCAGGTAGTTATTTACCAAGGGTATGTGGCATAAGCTTTCTTGCGAAAAACTGAATGGTTTTTTATTTTTCTTCGAAGTATCTGAAGACCAACAAAAAGAGAGAAGATTTCCTGTGAAACCAATCCACCTTTTTTTCTCGTTCGCTAATCATTGATTAGAGTGAATGGTTTTGAGTCGCAGGTGGAATGTGCCATGGAAACAACATTCCGTAACATCATAGTAGTATACCCTCTTTAGTTTTTTAGGGAAAATTTTTCCATCATCCGTCAATGGTTTTGGTGCCATTTCTCTAGTGCTGACTATTGTATGGGCCTACTTAATGCTGAATTGACAGCAGGTTTTCAACAAAACGAGTAGTGAAAACGAGTGTTGTTGCCAATTGGATGTGCCACTGACTACCATGATTCCGGTACACCTGCTGTGGCAGTATGAAAATATATCGATAGACTTCTTACTTGGGAAATCTGTGCGCTATGGGATATTCCAATTGTGCGGTCAACTTTGATTCTTTTCTTTTTTTTGAAGTAAACAAATGATAGAACTGATTGGAAGTATGCAATGCATGTCGTGTGCAATCTGGTGTATTTTGCACAGTATAGTGAGCACGCCCCATGTCCCTGTGACCGTGGAAAATGCGAAATTACTTATAACCATTATTTCACGGTCATATTGCAGTTAAAACTTACTTTTCCATTGTGTTTGGTGTCAATTTTACACATACTCTCGACATTCAGGAGGCGGTCCCCGTGATTTCAATAAACCGTTGTACTTATTGATATCACGGTCGATGTCAATGGTACGTGTTGTTTCCAATGCAAGAACCTAACTCCTATCTCCTATTCAATTTCAACGAATCAATAAAACTTTTCATCCCCACAGGCAGAATTCGATTTTGATTGTGATGACTTGCGTTGTACCATCTTTTCTTTACCTTCCATCAAGTGCAATTCTTGTCAAGCCAGTCCATTATACTTGCATATATTTGGAAAGTATCGTTTGCGAGCACAACTTTGAGTTGCAAACGACGTTTTTATTGCCACACAAATTGATTCAATCGATTTTATTTTTATTCGGTTGATATTGATATGATTTGCCTTTTCGCGTATATATGAACTCCATGTGAATCAATGCGTATAATTGCGATGAACAGCAATGCCGTTCAATGGCAGTCAATTTTCGTCATGGTGATTGTTTGGTGGCGACATTTGGCCTCTGGCGCTTTTCTAATAAAACCATTTAAGACTGAATTTCTTTCGAATTTCAGGTAAATCAAACGATTTTCAGCTTGAAGTGGCCCCAACATATCAGATACGCTGTGTACAATTTAACTGTGAATATCATCATATTTTTTTTGGCTACAGGCGATCACAGTCTGCAAGCGTTGAGCAAGCAATTTTTACCGTGTTCTTTTGTTTGATCAACGATAAAGATTTTTTTTTTGGCACAAAACACATTCTCCGAGATTATTGCTCACTACTGTATTGTCATCTACCATACCATATCCACATCAATTGACAATTTATTTCATTTCGATGCTTTTCACCGTTTGCTTCGCGTTTTTTTTACCGCTTTTTATTTTTGTTCTTTTTGTTTCTGATTAATTAGCTGTTCCCTTGTTTTCATCCCATTGAGAGTTGAACCGAGGTAGAACGCTACAATTCGATATGATTTGCTCTAGCCGCGGTACATAGGCACAATTTTGGTGCACACATTAAAACTACTCAACATTGATTCAAAATCAGGCAGAGATTTGTAATTGAAGCGATTCCCATGAAAATCTTGTGCAATAACACAGCAAACGTCTTTAATACCACCTTGGAAATGTTTTGGAAGCCTTTAATCTTACGAGTCAATGGCATTGTGCCATGTATTGACATACACACCGGGACTTTTTTTTACCTAGGAGCAAACGTATGCATTGTACAGGGGCGCTCGAGCGATGCAATTTTTTTAGGAAAAAAGGCGCTCGAGCGCTAATAATAATTGAGGAAAATCGGAAGAAAAAGGCGCGAGCTTAAAGCACTCGACCGCCATTTGATTTATTTTAGTTATTTTAAATTCAAATTGAACAAGAGAAGTAGGGGCGCAACGTTTTTGGTGCAGTTCGGCGCTATTTTTTTATTTGAGTCATAAATAAATAATAAATAGTTCCATGTTTTCGCGCCCCTAAAATGAAATCCGCGGCGCTGAAAATTTCTTGCACCCGGGCGCGAGCTCACTAAAAAAAGTCACTGCATACACATGAGTATTTATATAACCGTTCAATTCTGTATCGGGTTGCTTAGTGAGCGGCTATGTGTTATTCATTCGTTTCGGAATTTCTAACCGAAATTGTGATATTTCGGGAAATATTCTCCCCCCAACTCATTTCCATTCAACTCTCAACTATGCTATTAAAATGCCAAACCTCTGCGCTTTGTTTGTTCAAAAGCGCTCGTTGCTTTGTAGAATATTTGCATTGACTGTAAATGGTAACAAATCGGATATTTAGAAACAGCGTAAACTTAATATGGAAGGAGATTGTTTCCAAATTTGTCTCAATAAAAAAAAACTCCATAAATTGAATCAAAACAACAAAGTTTTCAATGTTTTATTTCTATCTTGTATATGTTACATTGAACACTGTCATCCGATGTACGTACTTCCCTATGATGATTCGATACAATCTGTGTGCGAAGCAGTTGAGCATGTAGTACAAACTGCCAAAAATTCTAGAGTTTGACAAACATAACACAGTTCATTGCGCGCTAAATCCGACTAAACCAATTCCGCCTTCCTATGAATGATCAGCATGTTTCACTGTGTTCAACAGCACCACGTAGATGTCCGATAGCAGAAATTCGTTCTTATATATATTAATGTTGCTCAAAAATCCCCCACTCGAAATGGGGGATCAACGGAAGAAAAACCTCATAGGTGTATGACTTTACCTTTCTCATTCCCAATAATTCTATTTGATAATAAAATGGTTTACATTTACACCCCCTTGCTATGTTCATCTGTATTTCATGGAACGTTTCACGAAAACACTATTTGCAATTCAAAATGAAACAAATATTGGGATCGTATTACATGACATCTGTATGTTTCTTATTGGATGCCAAAACACATGGATTTTCCGGTAGGCTCTTCTATGATCCGAAAAGAAACACACGTTTAGTTGACTCTTGATTTGTGTGAATAGTGTCGAATTGACACTGTCCACCGTACAGAGCCATATCTTTTATAGCTGAAATTATTTTTTTCAAATAAAATTGCGTTTTATTTCCCAAACATTTTAACATAATTGTTTGATTTGGAGCAATTTTTCAATCATTGACCATTCGTTTGGAAGTTGTTTTTTGATAGCTTCACTTTGATTTGGCTTCCATGGTGAATCCAGCCAAAAGAATAGGTTGATGATTTCTTGTTTGCCTTGTGCTTGATTTTCCAATCCACTGATTTGGACTTGCGGCAGATTTGCTGTAGAAACCAGACATATTAATTTCATTTTCGGTATTCCAACCAATACTGTATCAAATACTCACCAATAATTGCATCACGATTGGCTTCTAAATGTTTCATGAAGATTGGATTCTTCTGTCGGGCTAGATGTGAAAATGTTTTCAAAACATGCGGTGACACGTACGGTTGACACAATAGTGTTGGAAGTGTTGGCAGCCAATTGCTAAATATACTCTGGCCATAAGCGTTGTACAGTTTGTGATCCAGCACAATATCACACAGCATGATCAAAACTCTGGTTCGAATTTCTTTGGGAAATTTGCCTCGTTGATAAATGCCCAAAACAGTGGCCAAAAGTTCTTTGATTGCTGGCAACGCTTCCAACCACTCTTGGGCATTATCCACTAGAATCGTTCTCAACACCTTGACAACGATTTGCAAAGCATCCGGCGAATACGAATCGAGAGAAACTAAATTGTCTAAATGTGAACGGAACAATTCGAATGAAATACGATTCTCTCTCGATCATTTCTTTTTATCGGAAATGATGAAAATCTCAAAATACCTTTGATAAATTCGATAATTGTCTTCGCCGACAATTGATTGCTCGCTGTACTTTTGCTCAGTGTCCAAAATACAAATGCAATATTCAAGTTTTGTTGGATACACTTCTGACCACCTGCTTCATACACTTCCTGCTCCGTTGCCATTCCTTTGGACTTTCGTTTACTGCCTGCCGAATACATTTTGAATAAATTTTCCGTGAACATACATGGAACATTTCATTTGAAGTAATTCTAAGCCAATGTTACCTTTAAACCCATCAAACTGATTGTATGGAAATCCGTTAAGGAATTGGTTCGAAAATTCCTGGCTGTACTTCTTTCGGAACCATTTCGTAAGATCATCATTGCTAACATCCAGATCACACATTTGTATCAGCTCCAACAGTTGCTCGATGATTTCAACGGTTGTCTTCAGAGTGAAAGCGGCTTCATTCGATATGCATACGTCTTCATCGTCAAAATCGGTGGTCGATTTGGTCGCATTGAGTTTGGCTGGACGCACTTCCATCCACGTCTCGAATAAAAGAGGCAACAACAATTCGACATACTTTTGGATTTTTTGCCCTTCGTCACGTTCCACTAGCAAATTGGATGCATTTGCTGTGATTGCTCCACTTGTTTTACGGAACAATAACGGCAAATCGCAGTTGCGGTTCAAATGTTTGCGTGCGGTCGAAAAGAAAAAGTCGACATTTTCATCAAATGTAAATAGTGACGCCATAAATCGGGCACCAATTGCCGACTGTTCAGTTGGAAGCTTGAACCTAAAGTCAAAAATCACCAATGAAATAAAACTTATTCCACAACTTTTGGATAAATATTAGGACCTACGCATCATCAACCGCTGAATTCGTTGGTTGCTCGCTATCAAGGTGTGATTGCTTTTGCGCAAGTTTTCGATGTTCGACAATTACTTTCAAAATGCCAAGAAGACGATCGAGTACTTTGCTACGCCATTTAACACTGGTCAATTTTCGGCCCAAGTTTGTGGTGAGCGTTCGCTCTGGCTTTGATTCGGTGCGCAATTTCGAAATCATATCGAGGAAACACGAGAAAATACTGTCACTATTCGATGCAACCAATTGCGGTGTGTACAACAGCAAACAGTCCAACAATGATAGTGAATCTTCTTGGATTTGAATGTTGATATGCGTCATAGCGCACCGCAAATACGAGGTAATAACATTGAAAAATGGCGATATCAAATCGGATGTTTGTGAGGCAAACACTAAACTCAACGCCTTGAAACACTCTCGCCGAACATCTTTCTCAATATCCAGTGCCAATTGACAAATTCCCTGAATAATCGCACCCAAATGCTTGCTGGTTTCATGTGGATGATTCGTAATTATCTCTTTGAGAAAACGTAAACCTTCATTCCGATTGGCAGAATTATGGTGCTGTAGCTTCGATAGCAAATCCTACAACAGAAAATACTGATGAACACAGCTCTCGACGGTTCGAAACAACCAATTTACCTTAATATTTGATCGAACAATCGTTCCATCAACTATAGTCGACTCCTTAATTTGGTCACGTATCACAATCTTTCGCACTTTAAACTCCGTTTTTGTAACATTTAAACCTTTCGGCAGTTTGGCTCCCTTCAGTTTAGTTTTTGTCTTTTCAGACTTTAAAAACTTTTTATGTCGTGTCATTTTTTACATTCGTTTCGCTCGGGTTTAAATTTAATTTTTTGTTTATTTATTGCTACTACGAAAATGTGTTGTCCATGTGCGATTATGGCACGTTTACATTCGAACAATAACGTCAACTGTCAAAACAACATACGTAAGAAGTGACAGCTATTGCATTACCATTTTTAAGTTTGAATAAATAAACAAGTGGTCTTGCAGATTTGGATGTTATTTTAATTCACACCGTTTGTTTGTGGATACATTTTAGGATTTTGATATTGAAACATAATGAGATCTTCAATTTTTAATAATGATTTTTTTGTTATGAATAATAAATGTTTCTAATTTCATTCGTCACATGGAGATTTGGTCTCATGAAAAAATCCATAGAGTCAAACCAAGGGAATATTTAAATTCATTTTGGATATTTGTCCGGTATTTGGAAGCTCAAGAAAGACAATTTAAAAGTTTGGAAACTGGTTTCTAAAAAGCAAATCAATCATTTGAACTCTGGAGAGCAATATGAACTTTGCTTCGGGGTTGACGACAACGAGAAAAAAAGCTATGGAAGTTAATGCAATGGCTATCGGTAATACCCTCGATAATTTTTCACCTCGTAATTTTCTATGTATAATGTAGTATAAATAATAAAATGATTTGGTATGCATGATTGATTCGTCAACTCGATATAATGGAAACAGGGCAGACGTTATTGCTTTCCAAAATTGTTATTAAGGTAAGTAATATTGATGAAAAAAATACTCAATACCTATCATCAACACACACTGATACTATGTTATGCGTGTTAACGTGAAATCAAAGTCGTGCAAATATTGGAACATAAATAACCAATTGATAATAACATCCGTTGATATTTGAACGCTTTTATTTTTGATATATCGAATCCTGGATTATAGCCTTCGGGAACAATATGAAGTTAACATATATATGCTCATGCATGATGGCACAATTGTGCTTTGATTGATTTTTGTTTGAACGACAAACTATTAATTTTTATAGTAAACCAATCATATCATGAATTTATAATCGTGCCCACTTGAGCTTCGTCTCCCCAGTTGATTGTACCCAGAAATTGTGTTTATCAATGACTTAAAAACCATTATGTCTTTAGGCAATGTCTTAAAGGCATGGATATGATTAAGTCAACAGTATGAATAATTCGAATTGAATGTATCTATTATGTGATTTTGAGCTAAACTTTGATAAAAGGATATAAGTATAGGTAATAACGGGGATCAAACTTTGTATTCTCGAACTCGAAAAAGAAAATCCACTATAAATTGATATAAAATTTAAGAATTCGGAATAAATTGTTTTAATCTACAAAATTATATGAGACTTTTTGTTCAAGGAAGAAAGATAGCACATATATTGGTGACTCTCATTGAATGAGTCTACGTTTGATTCCTCATCAAAGAGTATTTTTAATCAATCGAACTGAGTGACACGGCCACTGAAAACTGCATTCTTTGTTTGATTGTCCCAAATGTAGAAGAAAAATGGATGATCAGCAAGGAACTTGATTGCGTTTATGCCACCCGATAATATTAATGCAGAAGCTAAATTAAAAGAAAATTATGCATTAGACTTGAATTTGCTTTTATATTCTCATAATGTATCTTCAACCTGTTGCAGAATAGGCATCAGTACCCTGTTCGTTGATTTCAATTGCAGTTTTATGGATAACATTTGAAACGTATAGCGGCTCGTTCGTTTGCCGAGATTCCAATAGACCACTGAAATTTGCTTTCGATGTAAACATTTCAGTCATCCCCAACTAATTCGTAGACGGAAAAGAATGAACATATTTTATAAAATTGAAAAAATACAAAACATTCTGCATACATACGTTCTTTAAGATATCATTCAAGTTGATATCAAATTCAATTTTGAATTTTGGAACTTTGAGCTCAATCCACTTAAATTGCATTTTGTCGACGATTTTGGTTAGATTAAAATGTTTAATTTTATCCTCTAGTGCAGACAATCCATCAATAGTGCGTGGCAAAAGAATAATGAATGAAAAATTTGAATTTCTGTATCTCATTTGCACTGCAGCGGCATCCAAAGAATCGAATACTGCGTAGTTGAATTGACTCTCTTTATACATATAGTCAACGAGAACGGTTTCCGATTCAGTGTTATAAAAGTCTCCTTTATGTGTTTTAGGTTTTTCAAATTCGTCCAACCACATGCCTTTGAATGAAACTGCATTCACTAAAATCGCGCGTGTATTGGAGTTCAGTAGATGTGGTTCAATTAAGTCTTTAATTTTATTGTTGGTTTTTCTCTTGACAAATTGATTTATGTATTCAGCCGTGTCAATGGAATCTTCGAAATCCACCAATTCGACACCCGATAAAAACTTTTTCTCGGCCACATCTTGGAAATCGGCATTTATTTCATAGCATTCTTGCACATAAATCTGGTTTAAAATGGCCAGTGTTGTCTTCCCAATGCCTTGCTGTAATTTGCTAAAGTATTTGTGAAAATGATCGGCTACAATTGTCTGATTTTCGGTCAAATGCAAGCCATTTTTTATCTGTTCAAAAGTATTGCCTCCTGTTGCTTGTGAAACGAGGCCCAGTGCACTCACTACAGACAACGGTGAAATAATAACATTACCGCTACTTCCTTGGATCGATTTCTGGTACGGGAAAACAATATTTATACTTATTAAAATGTAAATTATTATTTTTTCTCCTTCTGTTTAGGGTCTATTTTTAGAAGTTTGTCTTATCGCTATGAACAATTAACCATATCTATAAAAAAAAAATACTACATTGGCAATTATTTTTGACTCAAATACACTGCATTGCTGTTAATATCTAGATAAATATCGCTAATTTATTTTAATGAATCATAAAAATGCACAGAAAAACTTTATTTACTTGTGAATTTCTTGTGAATATGCAATGTTTCCTTTGTTCCCTTACTCACTCTTTTTTGTTTTGCATTTTTTATGGTGAATTGTACATTAATACCTGATAAAAATCGGATGTAAATTTAGAAATTCCATTGGTAAAAGAAGTGTAGGAATGAATATTTGTTTCGTTGTTCTTCACTATTTTCATGTGCACTTCTTCCCCATTGAGCTCTTCCTTGTAGTCTTCATTTGTCGAGAGCTCTTGCTCAACATGATTCAGTGTCATGACGTAAATACCACTTGCAATAGCCAGAACCGTTACTTTGAAAATATAAATAGAAAAAGTAATTTACTGAAATGCACCTGGAACTTATTCTATTAGAAATTGTGATGGCCTCCCGATTTAGAGGTTGAGTTATTATGAATAGTATTCATGGCAATAATTCAATACCACCATATTGAACATGCCGTTGCCAATTGCTTAGACTTCAAAGCTCAATTTTTTTAGGTCTGATTGTCAAAGGCTGGAAGTCAAAGAGTACGAGGCCGTTTCTACAAATGAAATCACTATGAAATATTGACCGACATAAAATTTTGGCCACAATATTATCAAATTTGGTATGATCAATTTGGAACGTATCCAGGTTTATCAAATATGGGGCACAAAATTTAGAAGAAAAAAAATGAAATTTAACCAAAATCAAAGCAAATTTAAAACTTTTCACCCAAAAAGTGTTATAGTAGTTACGGTATTTATCCAACCGTATTCGGGATGAGTGCAATTGCTTTGACTACAGTTAGAAAAAATGTTATCGATTCCATTTGTTTTGATTTAAACTACAAACCCGTTAGAATGCTCCATCGATACTTTTTAAATAAAGATATGTTCTGGAGAGGTTCGATGGAAATGTTTGGATTTTCTACTTTTTCTTTTTCACAATCAGACATTTTCGTTATTATATTTAAATTGAGCGCTCCAGTGATATTGTGAAATAATTACAACCCGGTGTTTACGCTTACGTGTACTACTGAACTGGTAAATATATTTGAATTGATGCGTATTTTATATTTTTACTTTAGCAAACCTTTTACGACGCGTACCGTACAAATAATATTTGATCTTCGTCTGTGTGAGCTTACACAGTACATTATTTCAATCACACATACCAATCTGTTATCATGACATCACATCTGTGTTTTGTATGTCTCCACTTATCGCTTGTTAGAAACTCCACTCATTTTACAAGAATTAGACTTGACTGTTTCATTATTAATATCACGTTTTGAAACAAAAAGACTCCGATTAAATTGAAAAAACGAAAATAGATTTGTTTATTAAATCGAAAAATATTTATTATTTTCCATGGAAAATGAAACAGAGGATTATTCCCTAAGCTTATGTATAGAGACGAATAGTTGAGTCGGCTCCGGAAGAGAAGACCCACGGTTGCGTTGGATGCCATACAACGTCGAATATTCCAAAGTCTTCGTGTGGTTTGTGTGTTTGCAACTTTTTCAATGGAACTATCAAAGGATTTTGCAATAAATCGCTGGAGAAAAAAAAATGAGAATGAAAGAAATGTTAATTTTCATCGCACATATCGAAAAGAAGATTTACGGAATACGAAAGAATACTCACTTGTAAACCATTCCATGTGACACAATCACAGATTGATCATCACTGGCTGAAGCGAATAGTGGATATCTCAAGTGATAGGCAACACTACGAACGGCATTCTTATGCAAACGAATGGTTTGATATGGTTTCGTTGACAAATCCAAATCAAACCACAGCATCTTTTTGTCATAGGTCGACACCAATAAGTTATCGCCCTTCGGATGTATCGCCATACCCGAAATCCATTTACTATTTGTTATTAATTTCTTAAGCAATTCCTGCTTCACTAAATCATAGATACGAACGTTCTTTTGTGTCTGCCAGATATGAAAAAGAAAAATCGAATAGAAAATTAGCTGCAATTCTTGGATATATTGCAAATGTAAAATACTTACAGCCACAAATAAGCATGGTTTGACTGGATGAAATAGAACACATTGGATAAGACCTTTACTCTTCGAAAATGGTATTTGCGTTCGTCGTTTTGACAGCTGATGAATGAGTGTACTACGGTTGGCTCCCTCCGGCATAACAGTGGCAAAGTAATCACCGCGACCATGCCAAGTAACTTGATTAATTGGTTTAAAGTGTGTAATAACTAAACGGAATCCCTTTTCATATTCGTCGCCTTCGCTTGTTGACCACTGAACGGCCGTTTTGATTCGCTCATTTTCTAATAAATCTATTTTCGGTGCCTCAACGAGAATTTCATCGGTTTTCTTGGTCAGCATTTTATCGCCCACTTTTGGATTCACCAAAATCAATCGTTGACCACTTGCGATTGCAATCAACGAAATCTTTGGATTTGGACACCAAGCCACTGAACGCACAATGTCACCGGTTTTCAGAGTTTTAATACAACGACCAGTTGCAATTTCCCAAACTGAAAGCAAGAATCAAACAAATCCATTTGAAGCGTTCGATTGAATCAAATTTTAGGTAGAAAGATACAAAAAACATACTTTTGACCGTGTTGTCATCTGATCCAGATGCAAGATATTCACCCTTCGGTTCCACTGTAATCGTTCGCACGAAATCGGTGTGACCCTCATAGATCAGCGCTTCGATCGTTGGGAAGGGTTGCAAGTCTTTTGGCGACGGCAGCTTTGGAATCAAATATTCAGCATCGATGTTTAGTTTCATGCGACGAGCACGTGGACACAGATACAAGTCAAGGCAACGCAAGAACCGTTCACGAATATATCGTGGATAGGCTGGTACCTCACGCAGTGAACTGAATTTCTGTGGGACAAAGTGCAATTTACGTCGTGATGGTTCTTCTTTGAATTTGTGCCATTCACGCATTTCTTTTACGTCAAACAAATATTCAGGTGGTGGATTGTACGACTCAGCATGACCGGGTAGATCACGTTTTGGTGCCGATACATGATCATGAATACGACGCATCTCTTCTTTGCCGGTATCAGTTTCCCAAAGCATATAGAATTGTGGCCCTTTCTTGGCTTTTTCTTTTTCCTCGGTCGTTTTGATCCAGCCCATTTTGATTGCATGCACCAATCGCGACACTTTCTTCTTTTCCGACACCGACGGAATGAATGAACGCTTGTGATCAGGTACATTGCGAATTGGCATCTTTTCCACCTCCGATGTAAACCAATCAACCCATGGCTACGATGAGAAAGAAAAAAACAATTAGAATTTTAACTAAAAAGAAGAAGAGAAACGGAATCTCTTCGTCAAAATACATACAGTGTAATCATCGAAGTTGGCATCGGGAATACGTTTAGAGTTGATGCGTTTGATTAAATCAATGTCAGCCTCGCTCAATACAACATCTTGACCGGTTTGTGGATCCTTGACCGTTCGCCAGAAGTTTGGATCTTCCATTCGTTTCAAGAAATCATCCAATTGATCGCGTTTTGTTGGCTTGATAATTTTCTTTGCATCCCAATCGTAACCGATGTGTTTGTACTCATCATACCAATGCATTGGAATATTTCCGACCGTATTTCGAATATCCTCCTCATCGTCGGTGTCGTGCTTCTCATATTCATCGACTTCAGCGCCATTTTTGCTTGAAGTACCCTCCGATTTATTCAATTCATTCTTGAATGCCTCCACAGCATTCGATTCACTCTTTTTCACACCCGATTCCTGTGTTTTATTTGCACTCTTTGTATTTATACCATTTGACTTTGAATTTTGTTTGGCTGTTCCGTTTTCTTTCACTGATGGTGGCTTTTTACTACTTGTACTGGGCTCATCTTCGGGTTCACTGTCTTCTTCGAATGATAGTTCTTCGCTATCGTCACTGCCGTAGATTTCCTCATCATCAACCTCCTCGTCGTCGTCATCGTCGTCGTCGTCGTCGTCGTCCAATTCATTCTCAGACGCTTCTTCATCCACCTCTGACCCACTTTCTGCGTTGGCAAAGTGCTTCTTGTTTAAATTTTGTTGATAGTTTCCTTCGTCGTCACTTTCAAAGCTCAACTCATCATCCGACGTTTGCTCCCCATCGTTATTTTCATTCTCCGAATCCGAACTTTCAACGTCGTTGTTCACATCATTGAATGACAATTCCTAATCGAAAACATGTTTTAAAAAATAGAGACCAATGCAATGCAAAGTAACTTGAAAAGTCACTATTTACCTCTTGATCGGATGCCGACTCTTCTTCGTCAGCTTCAGCGGTAACTGTTTCCTTTTGTTTGTCTTTTGTGAATGGTGTTGGTTTACGTTTTAAATGTTTATTTTTGGCCATTTCTGCAGTCGTACAGTGAAAACTCCAATGCAAAACACAAAAATCACTTCAATGACAATACCGAAAAATGTACAACGATTCGCCCCGTTCAAAATGTGGAAAAAAAGAACTATTTGAATGTGATCGCAGTGTGTTTATTCCGCATTTGAAGCACATGTGTCTAAATGTGATAAACTGTCAACGAAACGTCGAACATGACTGTAGGAGGGAAAATAGCGACAGAGGTCGCGTCTGCACACAATTGAATGCTTGATACCAAACGTGTAGTGCTTCGCAACTGTGTACTCCGACCCAGAGATGGCACTGATGCTTCATTTTACCTTACATTTGCATTCATCCCACTGAAAATGAAATACTCAAACAGAAATCCGACACAATTAAATAGACAATCGATTTTATTTGTCGTTTCTTTTTTGAAATATTGGAAATTTAAATTATTCAACGAAATAATGGACAATGAGTGTTTAAAAGTAATTTAGTTAAAAATGGGCAAACCTTATGCGTGTAATCAAAAAGTCATGGATAACAATGTTGGTTGAGTAATTTCATTTGAATAAAAAGTGTGCGCACACATTTTGTCATTGAGAATTGTTTTGCGCCTCCTCTCTTGCTTTTACCTTAAGCCTAGTGAATAAATAATAATTCGCGATGTTTTTTTTTGGGATTCGATTTAAAGATCGGTTTGTTACATATATATATATAAAAAGAAACAGTTGAGACTCATCGACCCATGTTGATTGGTTCATCAGCCATGGCCAGTTCTTCGGTTGGAGCTTTGTTGCCTTTTCTCTTCTTTGAATACCACAAGAATAAGAAGCATGCCGATGCATTTACAATGAAAACCGCCCATGCCATATAAACGCCATATCCGTAACTAAAACGATAAAAGAAACAAGGTCAATTTAAATCGAAGTATTTTCCCTTCATTCCTGATGGCCTTTTCGATAAAGCCTTGTTCTATGCAATTTAACAAGTTATCTTACAAGTAGTCAGCTCCTTTCGGGAATAGATAGTCCATGTGCTTTTTTTCATAATCAACAGCATACGACACTATTCGCAATACTACAAAACATATGGATGCTACAAATCGAACATGATTAATGTCAAGTGATCAATTGATTCGTTGAACATTTAAACGAAAAATGAAAAGAAAAACGATCATAAAAACCTGATATGAAATGAACACCGGCAGCCAGTCTTTTGAACATGTAACGTGGATTTAAAAATGTGTACATCGAAAAGACAAAGGCCATTGTCATAATAAGCAAGCATATACATGCGAATGATGCCTGAGTCCGCACGAGATCTACGAAACGATTTCAAAAACAAAGAAAAACTTATTGATTTTTGTGTCATTCACAGCGAAAACCATCTTCAGACGAGACAAATGAAGAAAAAAGAAGGAGAGCGAGAAAAGAAGGTCCATATATTAAAGTCAAAATCATGGCATAAATAAAGATAGGTGGTGGGCAAAAAGATGGGCATATCAAGTCCTTAACTTCCAAAATGGAAAATAAAAAAAACCAAGACAAAACAACAGAGAGTATGTGGAAAAAATAACGTTTTGCTCCATTTTCCCTCTTCAATGTTTGTATCCATCTCGTTTTTCTCCTCTCTTCGACAAAAGAATAACTGATTGTTTCGACATTAATTTCGTTTTAATTTCGCACGAATCTACTCGTCAGTCGATGTAATATGTTTCGATTTTTTCACGCTGCGCTTGTCATTATAGGAAGAGAAAAGAGAATCGGTTCAGAAGAAAACGGTTCATAGCACGCTTTCCATCGCAATTCTGGATGATCTTTTGTTTCGTATTTGGTGCCGTGCGTTGTCGATTGCGTTTGTGACTGTTATGTTTTCGAGTTTAAAAACGATTGACTAGCTATAAATAGCTGCCGCACACATTTACTATTAAACAGGATTTCCTTAAATAAATTACATTCAAAGTATGAAAATAGAAAATACGTGTGTACATCAATATAATATTGCGTGCAGAGATCGAAAATACGGAGAAAAAAAGTATATCGTGAATCAAAGAGACGAGTGAAAGAGAACAAAAAAACATAAAAGAAAATTTTGTTGCCTGCATTTACTATCCCATATTGTGTATCGCTTTGTTTTTTTTTGCGCTTGACACGAATGCTCACTGTACAAATAAAAAAGAAAAGCAAAAACAATACCACAAAAAAATCTCGCCATTTACAATCGTATCAAAAAAATCGTTCGTTATCGCGATGCTTTTTGGACATCACACATTTTCAATAATTTCTATCATGTGTTTACCTTGAATTTCCTCCCAATGAAATGTGTGCATTTTGAAATCGTTTGCTTCAAGTGTTTCGTTCGTGTAGCCTGGAAAAGATGATGAGAGAATATGGTTTGGAGTGTTGTTTTTTTTGTTTTGGTTGCAATAAGATTTGGCAATCGTTTTTCTTCCGATTTTATTTTTCGTTCGAGCGTAAGTCAGTGTTTTTTTTTGTGTGCCGTGTCCATTGAATCTCAAGCTGCTATTTTGATTATTCGCAATCGAATGCGGATTATATCTTCTATTCTACTATGTCTCTAAATCATAAAACATAGGCTAGCTAATTTACTAAAACAAACAGAAAAAAAGCCAACTGTAAATCTCGCATTCTCATTAAATTGTTGCAATCTAGTTGCAGCTAACACTATTTATGTGACCGAATTGACAGTTTGCCATTTTAATTGTGTACATAGTATGTACTACATACACTTTTGCCATTGCAAATACGTTGCAAATAAAGTGTTGAGATACGGTCAAGTCATCGCAAAGTGGTTGTTGTTGGACTGACATCAGTTGCTGTTGTTGGTGTTACAGGATCGATATCAATGTTTATGTGTGCATCGAGGCGTCATCTTGAACGTGATATATGTTGAAAATGTGTTTGAGCAGCACATAAATATCCAAAGCAATTCATTATTACATTTACGCGATCATTTTCTTTTATGCAATTACAGACCTCTCCAACCAGCATCTCAATAACAAAATAACTTCAACATGATAATAAAAGCGTTAGTTTTGCAGCACAGCTACCAGCACGGTTGGAAAACAGAGCAAACATAGAATAGTACCAACGACTCCTATTCGACGATGACGACAACCGAATAGCGCCAAAAAAAAGAAGAAAACTAAACTTGCAAGTGATTCCATTAAATTTAAACTCATTGATTGCATTATCGACATCCTGCTACCACCTAATGCAACAACAGGAAATCGAACAAATTAAAGCACATATGTTGGGTCAAAAGTGAAATCTCTTAAATCTACAATCGGCTGTAAAGGATTGGAAAAATAATGAGAAAAGAAAATATAAGTAGAGCACACCGAACCGTCCGAGCGAACGGTTTTAGATGTTGTTTACAAATAAAAAAAAGGAAACTGGATAAAAGCGTTAAAAAGGATTAAAGTGTCCCATGCAGCAAGGAAGATGTTGTGATGTAGTGTGCAATGCACGGTGGCAAGATGCTAGTGACGATGTTATTGTAGCGTATCGATACCATCATCGTGCGACGAAGATATATACAAAAGACAGAATTCTGACGACAAAAGCGATTAAATTAAATAAATTCCGAATATAAGGGTTGAGCGAGGCGGAGAACAAATATGGATTCCCCTTTCCATCCTACGGTGTTATAGTATAGTTTAATAAAATATGTTTTGCAATTGGAAGACGGCCACTCAATGGTTCCCGATGTCTGCCATGCAGCATTCTCAACAAGCACTGAAGATACGTTGACCACGTCATGCGATTCGTAATGCCATTGATGAGTATACATACCTAGAAGAAACTCGTCTATCGATGGATCGTATTCGGTTTCATTTATCAGTGGAAAAAAGTTGTGATACTTGCAAATTTCTGCAAAAAAAAAATAAACATGTGAAGAAAAAAAACGAGATTTTATTCGCAAAGTGAAGGAGAAAACAATGCAAACAAAAGGAAAATAGCGCATAAAATCTCCGTCCATTAGACTATATACAGTGTAATAGCGCGCACATGGATTATTGGCATTTTAATGCACCGCTTGATATATATGTATGTTTCTTCAAGAAAATTACAGATTTTATGCATTCTGCAGTGTAGCTTATACCCGTTTTCATGGGGGGCGTCCGAATGTATATAGCGTTATTGAAACCGAGTATTATAACGGAAATTTTTACACAAAAACCAGAACAATGACAAATGTATAATCTAAATCGTTCCACATCATTGGCGACTTTTCAATGTTTATATCGCTGTGTGATTGTGCACTGGGATAAAAATGGCACTCAAGTTACTTGTTGTGGCGATAAAGTCCACAGCGATATGGTCACTCATACACGCACAGTTCCATCCAACACAGCAATTGGTATTGTGAATATTCGCGAGTCATGTTGCAGTCTCTAACTCATACTCTGCAGACCACATAACAAAACTTTATCGTTGATTCAGTAGATGAAATCAGGCAATTTATAATTCAACCACCGTGGTAAAACTAAGAACACAAAAAAAATCCAAACTATAATTTAACTGATTCATATCTAAAATATTTTCGATTTAGTTTGGTTGCTTTTGTGTTAAAATACCAAATACATACCTCGAGTACGGTCGACAATGTGGTTTCACGTCGATGGTTTGTTTGTCATTGTTTTGGTAAAACTAATTCCTAAAACCTAAGATAAACATTGATTGCATACCATATTTCGCATAGCGATAATCCGGATTTGTTTGACCTTTTGATGGTGGATCAGGCGGTCGTAGAATGAGCTGTGTGCCATTTGGCGCTTTTATAATCGGCGACAAATCCATATCTTTGGCAAACTGACCCAACAATGACACAACTTTCTCTTTTTGAGGCCATTCGTCGAACAATGCCAATTGTAAATTTCTCGGTACAAAGACAGTAGCACGACGTGTCTCATTCACTTGTACATTGATCGGGGTGAGACCGAACAATTCTTTAACCATTGTTAAATTATGACTACTTATTTGAATATGTTGGACTTTCTTCTGTTTACCACCGCCACCACCGGCAGTTGTATTTAATGGGTTCGCAAGGGTTTTGTATTTCGTTTTGATGGTGGCAAAATCTTTGGGGTCGAGAATCCATTTTGCAAACAGAGCTTGTTTAAAGCGATTGTCGATGCTAGTTACGTTGGTAATGGGAACGCTTAAGTTATACCATTCTTTGATAAACGGTTGATTGGCGATGTCATTTTTCAGCCGGTTAATCTCGTTGCCATCGGTTACGATTAGTTTTGTCAATAGTTGAGGTAGTGTGGAATTCGTCAACAGAATTGGTGCGAGTGCGTATCTGCAAAGGCGCCATAGGCCCGTATGCGATGAAAGGAAAAAACGTTCACTGATCGGGATAAAAATAGCTGTTCGATATGTTTTTTTTTTGTTCGATGTAGATATTCATACGCATTCATCATAGCATCGTGTGAAACAGTCAGTCCAAAATTTAGATTGGCGCACCGAGATCACGAAATCATGCAACAGAGAAGCCACAGCGTCAGAATGTGTGAGAGCAAACAACGAAAATAGAAGAAAATTGAAAATAAATATCTGAAATATTGAAAATTGTGTAAAAGCGACAGTATGACGAATAATTGGCATGAGTTGAACATATTGGTGATTTTTCATCAGTGACATCCAACATCATCGCCACTGTCGTCGCCATCCTATTCGATGAAACATAATTACACTCGTTTCCTTCAAACACACAAGTCCAAGAATAAATATTTGCTCGCATGAAGCGTACACAAATTCGACACAAATAAATAAACAAGCAAGCAGGAAAAAAAAGTAGCTCATCGCGTTCTAAACGAAACAACAACAAAATATTTTCAAAAGCTCAATCAGTTGTTGTGTTAATCGTTAGAACAGCAACTATATTTTTAGTTCTTTTCTTTTGAGTTTTTTCCCCTCTCGTTCCATTTCTGTTTTCTCTTCCATTTTCATTATTTCATATTGTGAAATGTGACACAATGAGCGTTTCCATTTTCCTGAGCTAGCTTGTTTTCTGTTCTTTTTGAATGTCATTTGAAATACCACTTGATTTGGAATTTGATTCGCATTTCTCCGTCAGTAGACTCCGGAAACATTGCGGTAAAATTTATTGAGTAGTGACGTAGTTTATGCAATTATTTTCGTGAAAATTGATTCGATTAGCTTTGAAATCTTATCGTCAAACGAAAACATTTCGATCACGCGGAACTTGCGTCTCAATTTCGATATTTTCGTTGCTAAATGTCAAACGTACAAAATAAAGAGACGAACGTCATGTGTGCACTCATTTTATGCCCCTTTTTTGTGTTTGTAAAGAGCATACCAGACTGAAGGAATTTGTGTTTTCATCGTTAAATCACAGACATTGCACCTTTGAAAAAAACAAAATTTCGGATGAACGAACGAGCCTTTGACATTTTGAACGAATGCCAATTTCTCCGTGGGTCTCTTCAAATTTCAGCAACGTAAAAAATGTGAGCGAAAATGCAGCATTGTTGCAAAATAGTTGTTGTGGGAATTTTCGGGGAAATTCGCTCGGAACGAGAGCGGCTAAAACCAGTAAATACTTCCGCCAAGAAATTAGAGCTTCATGATATCCGGTCATATCAGATCGATTATATCACACCATCACACCGAAGATCGATCGAATCGAACAGGATATATACACATTCTGCTCCCGATTGGATTTGTGTGTCACAGTGTTGCGCGCACAAATATAGTTACCGACAAGTATTGGATTGACGTATGCACCCGAATGCAATTGGAGCGAAACGAGACGTAAATAATAAAATGAGTGCCGGTGCACAAACCAATTTAGTCAAAGTTCTTGATTTTTAGCTCATCTTACATACACGCGAGAGAAAAGGGAGATGGAGTAAGAGCGAAACCAGCGAACGAGCGAGCAAGCAAGCAAACGAGAAAGATCGGGAATGTGAAACAGTGGCTGCAACGTTGTGGCCACTTCGTGTGATTTGCTTGACCCTTTTTTCAACGTCTAGCAGTTCTATAATTACAAAATCAACATGTTGCTTTTTGCGTAGTGTGCGCAATTTTTCTTTTTCTAAATAAACAACTAACGTAAAACTACGACGACAATAATTGCGATTGCGTTCGTTATTGAAATAGATCAAATGCGGTCGGTCGGTTGGTGGCTTGGATTCTTCTCCGATGTGGAGCTCGAATAATTGCTACAAACTAGAGAAAATTAGGTGGAAAACGGTGAAATGCTTTAATCGCATGTCAAATCTCATGACACTATGTCGTCCGTCTCTCTCTCTCTCTCTCTCTCTCTCTCTCTCTCTCTCTCTCTCTCTCTCTCTCTCTCTCTATCTCTCTTTCTTTTCTCTATATTTTTTGAATCGTTCACCACGGTGACATAAGCAACTACAACTTCATCGATTGCAAAGGTGCAAGAATGCAATAGAAGAATAATGTGGAAAATGTAAAATGTAATTTGTTGTCGAGTTCGAGATAGTGTGAGACGGAAGGGTAGCGCGAAAGGGTTTGAAGAAAATCACCTCTGCAAACAATGTTGTCGAGGTTTTACGTCTTTCGTTTCCAGTAAATGATTGTCATCTTATTTCCTTAACAAAAATGACAATATTGAAACCTTGCTACTTCACTTCGGCAGCCATGATTAAACTAGCACAAAAGGATGCACAAGGTTCACGATTTTATCGCCGTACGATTTTGTTCATTAACGCCACATTATTAAATCATAAACACGTTCGAATCTCTATTTCATCGTTCGTGCGGTCGTCAAATGTGAATTGAGCAAGTTTTGGACGCTTTTTTTATAAGCAATTTCCTTCGTTCAAATAATTGTTGAGGGGAAATTAAGTCTTACTTCACAAACATTGGCAGCATATGATAAACAAAATCATTTACTCTATGAACAGCATCTGGAAAAGCATCTAAAATGGTGTTGTCTGCATACAAAGAAATACGTCTTGCTGTCTATATTGCTACTCTGCCCCAACACCTCGTCATCCACTCTCTCTCTTTCTCCCTCTCTCTCTCTCTGTGTGTGTCGTACTCCCCAAAGGAACGTTCAACACACGGCAGCCGTAAATTTAATTTTTGAGCATTAATGCCTTCGGATTTCTCAACGGAGATGAAACGACCGAATAGGTGTCGATGGTAAAAATAAAAGGAGCACAGAATGCAGCGTGTTACTCAAACGGGATAACATTTAAAATAACGACTGTTGGCTTCGAAAGTGAGTCGTTATGATTTGATTTACGAACGAAATTAATTTCACTCGAACGACTGAATAATGAAAACACTTTTTTTTTCTCGAATAAATAGAAAGAAAAAGTTGACTACAAATAACAAAGAATCTGAGGGAAAACACCCGAACCGAATCACATTGTCTGGGAACGACGAAAAAGCTCTCTCTCTCTCTCACCACACAAAATGTATGTCCGTTGAGTCTTGAGTGCTTCATGCGATGATTTTCGACAAAGCCAAAGAAACTCATTGCCAAGCGAATATCCATAAAAATTAATTCACCTCTTCTATCTATCGTTCACTCTCGCTACAGAACAACAACAACAACAAAAGTATAATAATGATAGATGATGTGATATATTATTGAAAGCAGAATATGCGAATATCGGCATCATTACGAGCTTTTCAACCGCTTCATTCGATTTCTATTTTGGTTTATTGCTAGTAATTCTAGCGGAATTTTAAGATCCATTTAAAAAATTTCATTGAAGTTTCCATTTTAATGCGTTTTCGAATCCCAATTCAGTATGGACACACTTGTTGCTTGATTCACAATTTCAATTCCATTTTCCCGTTTCGAATGTTCATAGACCCCCATTCAATGTTGTGTTGGTATGTGTATTTATTCCATTCAAACGATTTCCTGTCTGATTTCCAAGTTGCAATTGATCACAAACACACACACACTACATACTTATAGTTAAATAGAATACATACGTTTATCGCCGGCAACTAGAATCCAATGATCCGTACAAATAGCAATTGTCCATATGAATGCAGCGAATATTATCGATATTGTAATACCGAATAGGACGCGACGTTGAAACAGATATTCATCGTACAGTATTTTACGTTCTTCGCGCTCAAAGCCGCCCAATGTTGAGGTGGACATTTTTGTTTCGGTGCTCGTTATTTTTTATGATGCTTCGTTTTTATTTTGTTTTGTTTACAATGAGAAATGAGACTTTGTCTCGCAAGCGGATTGGGTTGTTTTTGTTGTTCGCCGTATGTAACAATATATTGCTTTCTGTATTTTTACACGATGTACGCTTAATTAGCTAGTTAAAATCGCCTCATTACACTATACAATGAAATAAATACTTTTTAACACAGTTTAACCGTCTAGTATATTATGTGAGTTTTTTTTTTAAATAGTCGTCTGTTTTGTTCGTTTTTTTTAAGCACAAGGATGAATTGCACACGTCTATCCTATACCGGGGGCTGCAACTATTTTTAAAAGACTTAAGAGCAGTATTGAAATTCAGCCAGTCGTTCAGTTAGGACTTCTTACACTTCAATTTGTTTCGCTACAACCAATGATCACACCACTCACTTTGTTTTACTGGCCACTGTAATGTGTGTATGTGTGTCCTATTGTTTTGTCCAGCACACATAATACACACATACACACTATGTGGTTTTATGAAAATGGGTTACTTTGCTATTTGAGAAGTGGATAATCGAAAGTGGAATTTTCACTTTATTTTGAAGCAAATAAAAACCGATTGTGTCGTCAGTCGTTCCGTTGCTTTATGAAAAATGACAACACGTACACAATGGTCGTTTATTCGTCAGCTCCTTTCATTTGCTCGGTGCGATTAGCATATTTTTGCATCAGTTTTCTCGTCAACTAGCATAGGAAGGATGAAACACGATGATGAGAGATATCACAACTCGATTTGATGCTTGAAGGCATCCGCAACACACATCATCATCTCTCTCTCTTTTTTCTCTCGCTCATATTTCATTCATTCATTCGGTTCGCGATTCATTCTCATTTTTCATTCGACGAAAAGAAGAAAAAAAAACTGAAATGCTCCGAGTGTTGGATAAGTGCGAAGAGTCCTTTTTATGGTCTAGCGTACAGTTGGTTAAACAGCAATAACCGATTTTAAGACACACTTCATTTACATGCAGATCACATTGTTTTGCATATCATTTTTACACTTTTGTGTATCTTGCTCCCCCCCTCTTTCTCTCTCTCTCTCTCTCTCTCTCTCTCTCTCTATCGCTCTGTGTGACTCTATCCCAGTCGCACTCACTGTCGTTCACTATTGTTATAAATTTTCACTTGTTCGACTCGTAATGGCCTCATAAAAATTCTTCCGCTTGCCAGAATAAGATGGGTCCACAGCTGTTGGATTCCAACCGTCTGATTTTTTTCCACTTTGTCGCACAGGGGACGTGCAAAAACTTAATGGTGTCAATAATGATAATGACCAGTTGAACGTTAGATATTGATAAAATGCTGCCAACGAGAATTGTAATATGCCTTTTTTTGTGTGTGTCTGTCGCTCGTGCACCAATCGTCAACGTCGCTAGCCTCAACTGACACAGCCAACCGATCTGATTCAAACGAATTGACGTTTTCCACAAAATGTATTATTGTCGTTATTATTCTATTTTTAATTCTGTTTTTATTTCAACATTCTTTCTTGCTCTCTCCATCTCCTGAGAACTACCTTTCATTTGATACACACAATCAGAACCGAACGGCGAGTAATCTATCTGATACAGCATTAAATTTCGATTTATTTAGTAGATACGCGATTTGTTTCTTCTTCAACAATTTTTTCTGCACGATATTCGTGATATCAATTACGAATTTTCAATTCTACTTACTTTTTGTCATGAAATTTGTTATTTTTTAAATCAACACCTTTAGCAATTCGAATTTTAAACGATGAAAAAGAAATTGAATCGTTTCTCACGCACTGTCACAACATTCGTAAAACGTTGACCGTTGAAAAATATTTTTGTTGTTGATTCTGGATAAACCCATGACACATCCGTTTTTTTGTTCCTTTGTGAATTCGTTTGGCAGATTTTCCCGACTGATGAAAATGATATTCGGTCGATGTTGACGAAAGTGAGAAATGAAACCACAAATATTCTCTATTTCTTCGTAGAATTCTTTTCTCTCTCTCACACTCGCATTTCACTTCGCGCCTGAATTTTTCACGAACTTGATATTCCTTTTTTTCGGTTTATGTTTACCGCCCGGTTATTTACATCGCTACAATCCGTGGATTACGCGTACATTTATTCGCTTTTCTTTGTTTTACCTCGCTAAGTCACGGATTTGCAATTTCATTTTGCTCCCTCGGTTGGATGATAACCGAGTCAATATGAACAGATAGCCCGACCGAAAAGTAAAAACGGAAAATATTCGACATCGACAGGGTTTTCGGATGAAAAATGGAAATCTGTTGCGGTTGCCGTTTGAAAATCAACTGATTGAAATTGTTGGAAAGGCGGCTAGCAAGCAACAACTCAGCAGCAGTGAACTGTAAGAAAAAAAAACGAAAACAGCACATAACTTTTTGTATATTTTGTGGAGCGAGAATGTGAATTCTCACACAGAGAGAGAGAGAGAGAGAGAGAGAGGAATAGCAACGAAAAAAAACCTCTATGTATGAAGAAATACGTCGGAGAAATAATGAACTAAACTGAGTGACTGAGATATCAAGCGAGCGGATGAACGAGCAAGCAAGCAGGCAAACATACCGCTCGCGCTCTAACCGTTAAAATATCGAAGAAAACGTAACCGAAGGAAAATCGAAAGCGAGAGAAACAAGAGCATTTTTCTGCTCATATTTTCGTATAATGCCCCAATGATTAGTATGTGCATATCCCGGTTATATTCTACACTCTGACTCTCTGTTGGCCAACATACATACGGAACGAAGGAGAAGGTCTCGATTATAGCATTTTCATTCTATCTCTATCGTGCCCGTGCCAGTCATCGATGATGGTACGTATGTGTATGGCATGGCATGGCATTCGATCGTTTCGAAGCGGGCACACTGTGTGTATGTAGTATTTAAAGAGATACTTGATATTATTAGAGTGAGTTTGTATACATGAAAAACGTGGCCAGCTATGAAGTTCAAACAACAGGAGTCGAACGTATAAGCTGTTGCTGCAGCCGTTGTCGTCGTCGTCGTCAACTTTGTTTGTCTGAACGTTATACATACAACACAGCACAATCCACTTTGCACTCTACTGACTGACTGGTTTGCAGGCAAGGCAGCTCTGTAAAACGCTGCACATTATACTGCACGTACGTTTCCATTTTCACACGTTTGGCGAATTCTTTTATTTTCGCTTTTCCTTCTGTTTTTCGTTTAGCGCTCCCCGTTTTGTTTTCCATTTGAAAATTGTGTCTCGCGCCACGGGGAAAATCACTGTAACACAGCATACTATATTGCAATCACAGCCAGTTGGAGCACAACAACATAATGCCATATTGTGTGTTTAAGTGATCAGGCGAGTTAAAATCAAAGCACACGAGACAGTTACAAACAAACGACACACTATAGGGCATTTTTCTTTCTTCAACAAAGCGTTTCATGTAATTGACTTTTACTTAAAACTAAGGTGGCGAAACGTCCTCGTTTTACGAGGACAGTCCTCGATTTTGGGCTCAGTCCTCGCGTCCTCGCAAAATCTTAAACATTTGCTGAAAATGTACAAAATGTCCTCGTTTTCATAAAGAAACACATTTGGTCAATGATTTTTTTTTTCAGTTATTGAAGATTTTTACTCAAATATGATGCAAATTCAGTTTTTATCATATATATTCCGTGCTGAATTTGACAAAATTACCATGAATAGTATTTCATTGAATTCATTGAATACTGAACCATAGTAGCCTTTGCTTGAGCAAAAGGCGCGTACGGTAGTAACGAAACAATGTGGTATTTTTGCATAATGTGAGAGTCTACTTTGTGTTATGATGAATGTAAAACAGACGTTGGCGTATAAACAAGACTGATCTCTTGTATATTAATTTCGCTTTTGCTTAGAATTTTTCATGAAATATTTAGAAAACATATCATATCGTTCTTGTTTATTATGTATTCGCAATAGGGTGTAAACAAGATTGCATGAGATGTGAAAAAAACATAAGAAAATGTCGCTTTCAAATGGTATATTACACAATACACACTATAATAACTTCAAGAGTTTAAAAATGTGAACATCATAAAGTTGAGTCATTTTTAAAATGTGACATTTTTCGGATTATCAAAAATGTCGAATAAAAGATTTCCAAAATTCGAGAGAGAAGAATTTGTCGGGGCTGATTCGAGTTGACGACACTGGGCCAAGTATAAACGTTTTATTCAAGAAATTTTTTCAATATAATGACGTTTGAATGCATAAAGAATAAAGAAAAATAGAACAATGACATATACTGAATTTTACACATTAACTTTGATGCAAAATACATTTTTAGTGACAAAATCTTATTACAATTGAAATATCCTCGTTTTTAATAATTTTCCCGAGGATTTGTCCTCGTTTTTGCCCAGAAGCATTTGGCCACCTTACTTAAAACCAACATCAAACAGAAGTCGATGCACTTCGCTTCGCAATGGATTAATAGGTAGCATGAGCGTTTCTTCGACTCTTTATCTTGTTTCATGTGGCATTTTCCACCCATGCCCTTTCGATCCGATGCTCCTTCCAAACTTTAAAATGCCACGCATAAACGGATATTGTAAATTATCCAATGTCCGTAACAAATGCGATTGCAAACATATTAGCACATAACAACAATGTCCACATAACATATTGCTTTTGTATAGCCATTCAATTTGTAAATTAGAAAAAAAAAACCATTGGTTTTGCAATTGTTGCGTGTGTTTTCAAAATACCCACCCAGCTTGAAGTTCATTTCCGTCATTGCGTAGTGAAAAAAATCAAGGCGAGAGAGAGAGAGAGAGAGAGAGAGAGAGAGAGAGAGAGAGAGAGAGAGAGAGAGAGAGAGAGCACCCTGTCCATATAACAATATTTCGGCTATATTTTCGAAAAAATAAGAAAATCGCCTGCAATCGGCCAATCACATTAAATGGGGTTTGAATATTTCATATGAACTCGATGTCAATTTTCGGTGACAGCTCATGAAAACTTGAGCAACCGGTGGCTGTACGACTTCCATCACAAATGACTATATGTACTGTGTACAGAATACATACACATGAAGACAATTTTGCATTGGGGCAAAACACAGAAAAAAAAATCGAAAACAATTACTACTTGGCTGGCTTTTCAAGCGCTGTCGGCGTCGTGACAAAGCCTTAGCACAAACCTATTATCGTATCCAATACAAAAATAGCTCCATTTGTTTCTCTCAAAATATATTCGTTGGTTGATAAATCTTACTCGCAGTTTCTAACCAACAAACACACAAAACAAATCGTCAAGATATCCCATGGATTTCCCTCAGTTTGTTGTGTTCGTAATGAAGTCATAGAAATTGGTTTGGCTTTGATTTTGTTCTCTCTCTCTCTCTCTCTCTCTCTCTCTCTCTCTCTCTCTCTTTCGCTTTTTATTGCTTTTTATTGCTTTCTTCCAGATTTGAAAAAAAATGCCATAAATGAGCAACGTGATGCTTATGAGCCAAAATCGGTCGTAATTCGAAAGATGCTATTGAATAAATTAAATAAGCGCAAATTGCTTAGGGGAAAATTTTGGCAAATCACATATAATCGATTATAAATAAATTAAATAAATAATTTAGTCGATACAATTCCGGTTGCTACGCCATTTTTGATAGGTCGTCAATGACAACTGTATGTTATATTTCAGATTCAAACGCACGGATGTGCGGATATTCCGGAAATTCGGAATTTCTTTTGAAAAGGGATTTATGTCGATAAAATATGACATCATGCACGTCTCTCGAACAGCTGAATTGCGTGATTGGTAGAAATGTTGACAGAAGGAGCGATTCGATTAACAACATTCGTTTTGGACACACAACACATATTAAATTAGTTTCAGTTCGGAAACAAACAGAGTCATGTTCTATTTATATTCTTTTGAATGAAAGATGTCGAGGGATTGGAGGATACCAAATTTGAAACCATTGTTAACCGATTGCAATTGTTCGGATGAATCCAAATGCTCCGTCTAACACTTGAATAGAATTATATATCAAATGGCCAACGTATGTCTGTAACATGGGTTAAATCAATTATTTAAAAGCATACTGTGCCAATACAGTATAAACCATGGCATTTGCATAAAAGAGACTAATTTAAAAGAAAAACAAAGGGGTACTTCATATTTTCTCAATTTCAAGAATGGTTCTGTACACAAAACTCGTAGTTCATCATTCATGATTGCTTATTGCGTATAGCAAATGGCCATACTCTAACGTATCGCATTTTAAATTTGCATCTGATTTAAGAGAGATTTTCGGAATTAAAGTTCAAACTGTGGTGTTTATTATTATACAAAGTGAAACGTAATAGCATCTTGTTTGCGAGTGACTTTTGCGCGGTGTTAATTCTGTTTTAAATAAGTTGTTCTTGCAATGATGCAAAGTTTGGCTGCCAAACAATAGCTCAAGCAAAGTTTTCGGCGAGTTTTATTGACACGGTGAAATCTATTCTCCGAAGTTCGCCTTCTTATGATTTGGAGCGATATAATCGATTCGGTATATTTCCATTCGAGCCGACGCTTTGCATTTCGCTTGCACTCTCACTCCGGAGGTGACTGTAACTCTGACTCGCATTGAACTTTTTCTCGAGAAAAATCCGCATTCAAGAAGATAAAAAATGATGTGCATGGAAAAATGAAGTAAAGATTAAAAGTTGTAGCGAATATAAGTTTTTGTGTGTGGTTTATTTGTGCTCGTGCTTATTTCTGAATAAATTGACTATAATCGGTGCAAAAGCACAGAAAACCGAAATAGAGCAGGTATGAAGTCACAACCAGCATGATGAAGACGACTATGATATAGGTAAGTAAGTGGCACTCTGATGGAAAGAGTAACATTTCAACAAAAAACCAAACGGTATTCATCATCGTGGCTGTGGTTTTAGCTCTCTTTCGTTTTCCATTCGGTTTCCTTTTATTAGGAAAATGCTCTGCCCGTATCCTGTGTATTCAATGCACGGAAATATGCTGAAAATGTAAAAGTTCAAATGTGCGATAAAATCATCGCACACGTTCGGCACATGTGCTCTTGTACTAAAATGTCATACATAACGTTGATAATGGCATTATTATGATTATGGTGGAAAACTGTTGCTTAAATCCACTGTGTGCACTATGCAAGCTCGAATCGAAATAACTAGGGAGTTAACCAGCAAATAGACATGGGGGGACATTGCTGAGAGTGAAAGAGTGTGAGAAAGGGAAGAGGAAGGAGAGAAATAAACGGTCGCTTGCACGAATTCACTCAGATTCCTGATGAATGGCACCACGAATGAATGATTCAGCGTGTTTAACATTAACATTCATTGTAGCTACATCCACAAAATATAGCATATTGGTGGTGGAAAAACTGTGAGGCAATTCTGTATAGCTTTTTATACCAAAATATTTCATATGGTTCAATAACATTCATGTTATGTATGTCAGCGAGAATACACTCACGTGAAACATATTTTCTAAACAAACGAAATGACTTTAGCTTTTATAGTGCTATACACTGAAATTCTTTCGAAAAATATGCAATCTCATATTTCTTTTATCATTTCTTTTTCGTCGCTTTTTTTCCTAAGACGATGTGTGCTTTGAATTTTCATACTTAGTTGAACTTAATGTTTATCAATTTGCTTACATCGTTGGATGCTAAAAGACGTCATTTTGTCGAAAGCGATTTGGTTTTCCTTGTTCATGTATCCTGCATGCAAATTTTCTTTGTGTGTGTGTGTGTGTGTGTGTGTTTCGGTAAAAGAGCCATATTCATCGGGCGTACTTTATCGGATGCAATAAATATTTAGGTCAAATTTCATGATGACGATATCAGAGATGATTTGTAACCCGAACTCTTCTTATGTACGTTTTTTTTTATTCTACTCTATAGCCGATTGGACACATTAAAATTCACTTCGATAAACCGTATCCCATTCGGAAAACCATAAAACTGAAAAGAAAAAAATTGTGATCGCTCCAGTTTACATAATCCAAGGGTAGGAGTGTACCGTGCGTTTTGTGACGTCATTAATTCCGTTTAAAATCGAATCACTTTATTAAGGAATCAGAATATGTAAGCAAAACCGATCGCTCCATCAAAACGCTATGTTTCATTTGTAGTTGAATATGTTTCGGGTGGTATTTGAAAATAAGCCGAACGCTTTTATGTTTATTATTGAATAAACATCAACATATGACAGCCTTTTCCGTTCCATTAGCAATTTAATCGGTGTCGTACGTCACTCTCTCGCTGTTGGTTCATTTTAATATGATTTGACAACAATTTTTTTGAACATTCCATATGGCTTTTCTGTCGTTCCACTGTTTTGCGATCAAAAAACATATATATCACAAGAAAAATGCCAACAAAAAAAAAATTTCTCAAAGAAAAAAAAAAGAATTTTTCACGAGAAAAGTGAAAATCAAATAAATGTGAAATGCGACCAACCGTCTTACAAGCAAGGCGCCCCGGATTACACGTTCTATTTCAGATTTATTCAAAAAAAATACAATACGATATTGAGACTGAGCCGAACGTATGAGTTTTGCATTGTATTGTATTGGAGAAATGACGCCACTTATATTAAGTTGCTATAAATCCATTGGATGTTAGCAAAGTCATAAAAGCGAATTAGAATGTCATGAAAAAAAAAAGATGTTTGTTTGACGAGGCGGCCGAAACAAAGAGAAAATATCAACAAACACAACTGACAAGCAAAATCGAAATAACAAATTGGCGAATCGCATTGCATGTCGTGTATACACACCCCGAAAACAAAATAAAAGGAGCGTGTATAATTAACGACTATTTTATACGACTAATTAAATTAATGAACGCATCTTGCATGCTAGCGAACGGTTTAAAACATCTTCAGTTTGTAATTCGAACACAAAGTTTTTCGACAACGCGTAAATTCTTCAAACGATCCCTCCCTCTCTCTTTCTCTCTCTATGTGCGTGTATGTGTCTATCTCTTTCTCGTTTGTTCGCGGAGCCGAAGTCTCTGTTCGCACGAAATGCATGTGATGGATCCGATTGTGGCGTAAGCTGCGTACGAAATGCGAGTCGAATGGCAACGGAACGCCAACGGTCGGCTCCACTAAAAATAGATTAATCACACGAACAATGTATACACATTAGGCGAAAAATGCTTCATCATATGTGGAATTCGACCGATATTGATACGCCGCTTTTTACTCTCTCTTTCTCTCTCTCTCTCTCTCTCTCTCTCTCTCTCTCTCTCTCTCTCTCTGTCTGTCTGTCTGTCTATTCGGCTTATCATTCGACAGCATCTCGACGTACGAGAGCGATCGAATTTATTATTATAAACACATTACACACTTTCGACACACAACATAGTCAAACTCAAATCGCTATTCTGTTTATAATCTCCCCTTTTGCATTGTGACGGAGTTTTAGAATTATGATTTTTCATCGCACACAAATTTTTCCGTAATCGAGGTCAATGAACAAATCCATTGTTTTTTTTTAGTTTTTTTTTTGGTTGCGTACAAGTGTTTCGATTTTGGCAAATGCACAGCTTCCTTTCTATATTTAATGTAGCATCAATTAAAAGATATATGATGCTATTCAATCTGGATATATCAGTCGCAGAAAATCACTCAATTAAACATGATTTAAATTCAAAAATACTTCGGCTGGCATCTGCAGTCAGGGTTTCATTCTACTTTGCGCTTTTCAATCATTTTCGTTTGAACTAAGATTTTAGGTGCAAACCGCCGCCATTCAAAGTTTTGTGAATGATTCTGGGTCACATTGAAATCATATTGAAAGCTATAATGAAATTGTGTTTATAATTCATGGCTTGATTTATATTCGTGGAATTATTGCAATGGAGATCGGAGTATTTATCCTGTCATTCAATTGGTTTTTGATTTCTTGAAATGCTATCATATTGGATACATGTGGAAAAAAGGTTATCATTGTCAAACGGCGAAACAATTTGGGCTTTTATTTAAATTTTTAGTTTAGTTGCTTCTGACGCCTTTTTTTTCAAACCATCCTATATCTAGCATGGGGAAGTTTATTTGTAACATACTCCGAAGATTCATCATATGCGATCAGCTGTCATAACGGTAGCCTGCAATATGTTTCAATTTGTTGAAGGCGTCTCCACTTTGACTACAAAAGCCATTTAGTGACATTCCGTATACAAATCATCATAAAAAAAATGATTTCAAATATCAAATCGAGATTTTAAATCTAATGAAACACGTATGAGCGAATCTATCAACTTAAATATGTCCAATGCCAAAACTTAAATACTTTGTATCAAACATGGATTGGCATTTAATGTTCGAAAATTGCCGACAGGGGGACACATATTTTACACATTGTATATCGAGCAATAATACAGACAGATGGTTGCTCAAAAGATATGTGCACCATACGAATGGGGCGACAGCGATAAAAACGAAAATATGAAACACCAACACCACCGTATGACGTTCGAAGTAAAGTTAAAATAAAAAAAACACACAAATGTATTTCTAACAACCATATAGGTACGATCTGTGTCCATATAGACGCTGACAACACTTGCAAACTTTGTATCATACGTTCAATTCGTTCAACAAAGCGATTCACTCTCACAATACAGTGGTAATAACGTAAGTCGAACAAGGAATCGTGTGCGAAATTAAATTCGGGCTGCCTGTTTTCTTCTACTCATCATATTTCAGTCGATTCGTTTTATTATCTCTGCCTTTGTATATTCATTCTCTCCGTGTTGAATTGTCATTTGTCAAATATACGCAGCAAAAGTGTAGTTTGAACATCAAAATCAAAATAATACACAAGAAAAAAGAGTAAAGAGCAGAAACAAATCTAAGAAAATAAAACACATACAAAACAGATCGAAACGACGAATATACGTAGCAAAGTGTTGGCAATATTTGATCATCTAGTTTATTGTAGTGCAAGACGACGAGCGAACGAAAAAAAAGGAGAAAATTTTCGATAAATTTCCATTCGAAAATTGATTAATTACAATTGAACAAACCGAAGCAAATTCAGTGATAATCAACGCAACCAGATTCGGTCAATTTGTACTTCTTTTTTTTGAGAGTTAAGAATCAAAGAACAAAGACACTCAACCAAAATGAGTTACGCGTATTTATTTAAGTAAGTCCCGTGTGTGAAATATTGATTTTTGTTTTTGTTGCTTTTGTTGTTGTGTTTCAGTGAACAAATTCCTCACAAATTTGACAGCATTGAGTAGTTTATATTTTTTTTTTTAAGAATGAAAATCACTTATCAAAGGGGCATACAAAACATAAGCAGATACCAAAAAAGAAGAAAAAAAAATGGTGCAAACATTTGCCAGGCATTGTATATATTTAAATTGTCTGGGAATTGGATGTGTCACATGAAAATCACCAGAATGACATTGATTGATATGAATAATCGTTTGGTTAATGATGATGCGAATGATGCCCCTTTATACCATACTAAACACTGATTACTTTTGATCGAAACAAAAGCAATTTCTAATTTAATGTCTTTGATTTTTTCTCCTCTTTCTTCCAATGTTGTTTCGTTCAATCGTTCCGCTGGTGCCCAACATTACGACTTTCACATGCGAACACACAACGTTTTTTTTATGTATCTTCATCCTCCCTTCTGTGCTCATACCGTTCGATTCGGCCACAATCAAATGACAACATATGCTTCGCTCTACAGATATATAATCATTGGAGATACGGGTATGTTATTAGAAACAAAAAATTATGTTCAATCAAATTTAGTCATACACACACACATTTAGCTATTCGACCGTCGACAATTTTCATTTTCTTGCCGTTATTGTTTTTATCGTAATAAGTTTTTTTTGTGTTCGATAAATGCCTCGTTACGTGTGTATCTCTCAAAATGAGCACCGTTTCATTGCGTACGCGTGCTATCACACATGAAATGGAATTAACATATGTGATTGTTCATGGTGTTTTTCACCTTTGATTTGCGACAACATTAGGAAATAACCAAAACAAAACAACAAAAAAACAGACACACACTTTCAAACATTCCAAACTTATTGAGGAGTTTGGAAAAAATGTAAACAACGAATATGTGCATCATATGACTGCTGTTGTGTGTGCATTCAATCAAACAATAATGCAATCAATAAAATAACTGGAAAAATATGTGCAAAGGAAATCGATCAAAGCAAATTGCTTTGTGCAACTGTAAACATAGCATACGCAACGCAAATTGGATTGTTTTTTTGTTGTTGTTATTTTGCACTGCCGTTGACGGTCGTCGTCGTCGTCGTCGTCGTTGTTGTTGTGGGTTTTTGTATTTCATGGATTAAAGTAATGCGATCTTTATTCATATGGCACGTATGAATGGCGTGCAATTGCTTTTGCTCTGATAATTCGCTCTTGACAATCAAACGATGTTCATGTTTGGGTTCAATCGCGCAACATTTTCGCATCAGGCGTTCAGTCATGTTTTGCAAATTCAACCGAATGGAATGCGCGCATATTTCATGTTGGTGAGAGCGCGTCACTTGTGTATCCCTCGCAACTGACCGCCTACGCACTACCACTACGGAGTCTTTTATCTATCACTATCGCGCGCACTTTTTCTCTCTCTCTTTCTCTCTCTGTCTCTATCTCTCTCCGCTCCTGATAACCATATGGTACCCAAAGCTTTACTTTATCCGTAACTCAAGCCAAAAGCTTCTTTCTGAATCATGAATCATGAATCACGGGGGCCGCATTACAAACGCAAGGCATTTATCACAGTGTGTGACTTTTATTCATCAGAACTAAAAATCATATCAAACCAACCATTCAATCCATTATAAATATTTTACATGGATTAATTGTATTTTTATTTTCCATATCAGGCGTCGGCAAATCATGTCTCCTGCTACAATTCACCGACAAACGTTTTCAACCCGTTCATGATTTGACAATCGGCGTAGAGTTTGGTGCTCGCATGATCACTATCGACGGCAAACAAATTAAACTACAAATATGGTAAGCGAAAAATCGACATAATATATGATTGATGCGACGACAATCGAAATAATCACTCGTGAAATTCTTTCATTTTCCCAATTGCTGTGCAATAACAGGGATACTGCAGGTCAAGAGGCATTCAGGTAAGCGATAACAACCAGCCATAAACAAACAAACGATTGAAAAAAAAATTGCAAATCATATTCTTCATCATTGAATTTAATTTTCAATCAGATCAATTACTCGATCCTATTATCGTGGAGCTGCCGGCGCATTGCTAGTGTACGATATTACACGACGAGAAACATTCAACCACTTGACAACATGGCTTGAAGATGCTCGACAACACTCAAATTCGAATATGGTCATTATGCTAATTGGAAATAAAAGGTTTGCATTTTCATCTCATTCGCATCGGATTCAGTGGCAACAACAGCATTCAAGTGATAATTAAAATTTTTTCTCCCCTTTCATTTTGAATGCAGTGACTTAGACTCACGCCGTGAGGTGAAAGAGGAAGAGGGCAAAGCGTTTGCCCGTGAACATGGTCTAGTTTTTATCGAAACGTCCGCACGTACCGCTTCAAACGTTGAAAAAGCGTTTATAGATACGGCTAAAGAAATTTATGAGAAAATCCAAGAGGGTGTCTTCGATATCAACAACGAGGTAAAAATTAATTATTTTCATTCATTTAGTTGGTGAACTTTAAATTAGATTAAATATCAAATGTGTTACCGGGTATTTTTTTTGTTTCGTTCCTTCAGGCAAATGGAATAAAAATCGGACAACAGCATTCACCAACAAATCCTTCGCTACCTGGTGCTGGCAGTCAAGGCAGCCAAGGCAGTGGCGGATGTTGTTAAAACATCAACAAAGAGAAATTGCAGATAAAACCATAATTAAAATCGTTCTTGAATCAAAGGGACATCTTCACCAAGACAACTAAAAAACAAAAACAAAAAACACACACGACATAAATTCGTGAACAATTTCAAACATTTCGAATTCTAATTGATAACAACAAAAAAATGAAGTAGCGAGAGAAAGCACTGAATCGTTCCGGTCGATGTCATTTTCGATTCAAATCGGAATATTCGCATTTCAAACCGGCTACATTGTAGGATGTGATGATACGCCCTACGCTTTGCCGTCAACCATATGAAATACGTATTCAATCAATATCTCTTGCGAAAACCCTTTGATCGTCTTCAATTAATCCACAAACACTTCTGAATTATTTCTTTTCGTTCGTTTTCTTCAAATGAATGAAAACCCAAATTATAAAAAAAAATAAACAATTTCGAACACATACAATTTCTCAACAACAAAAAAACATTTTATATATGATGATATCAACAACAAGAAAAAAAAATTTAACCAAAACTACAAAAAAAAAGATGAAAAAAATATATGATAAAAAAACACGTTCTATTGGAAGGGTTTCGTTTTTATGTGAAAAAAATTTAACGTTTAAGGTGCATATTTGCTGTATTTGTAATCTAAAACTCTAAGATAAAAAGAAATGAAGACATAAAAAAAACCTAAAATCTGCGAACAAAACTATGATTATATTTAACAAAACAAAAAAACGAACCTACATAACAAAGTTGATAGTTTAATATCGCGATTTTGCCAGAACATTCAAGAATCTTTGAAAATTTCATTTGTTTTCGTAGTAAATTCAAGTTCTCAGTTCATTTAATTCGAACCAATTGTCCCCGATTTTGTCGAAAACAAAATTCGCCTACACCACATTTTTATCTCTTCGTTTTTATTTTCTCTTGACGAAAAGAATTTCACGAAATTTCTAGAATTTTTTTATAAGAATCGGCGTACAAATTCGAAAATGAAAATTTTTCTATATTTTTTCTTTTTCTCCTTTTTAGTCGATAAATAGCATTCAAAAAAGAGCGGGAAAAAAAACAACTAAACAGATCAAACTACAAACTGTGTAGTTAATGTGTGCAAATATTTTGAGTATTTTTTTCTCTCTCTGTAGCTAATATATTTAACGAAAATGTTGCAATTAATTTTATTCGATTGAGATGGATAGTAGAAAGTTGCGACTTTCAAAAGTGTAATATGCGTTTTCCTATCCCGAGATGATAAATAATAATTTGCTTGAATTCACTCATATTCCAAAACGATAACCTTGATGCTTGTGATTAGTTTCATCATCCGGCTTTTGCCTTTCCATAGACACAAACAAAAGCTACTGATGCCAAATTCAGTGAGCAGCATAATTTCGAATAGCATTTTGGAAACAATTCAAATTATATGCGGATCAGTTTGAACCAATTTTAATTGCAAATAAAGAAGAAGAAAAAAAAACCACATTTCCTATCAAACGAGTTTCATTCGAAACACATACACATTTGGATAATTCCTCCACCAGTAAAAACAACCAAAAAAAATAAATAAATAAATAAAAAAATGAATTACACTTACCAATTTATCAATCAATACCAAATAGCACATTTTGTATTTAAAAGAGATAAATAAAAGAACATAAGGATTAACTAAAACAAATACAACTTAATTTAATAATGGGATTAAGCATAGTTGCCATGCGAACCGTTCCCATGCGAAAAAATGGCTAGTGATGGCTAGCAACACTATTCCTTTTTCCTCCCTAACACAAATATACAGTGCGTACGCCCGCCCGACCGCGATTCGTCATTTCGACCGTTTCACATGGCAAACATTACACAAAAACCATTTATAACTTATACAAATTATTATTAATTATATAAATACATGGAAAACAAATATAATTGAATAAAGAAACAACTATTGTAACTTTTAACGAATGAAATACACGTGAACAGCATGCAAACCATGGCACTGAACTTACTGTACTTTAATTGCTGAGCACCTAAAGCTGCGATGAAATTTACCGTAACAGCATAGCTCTCCTTTTCTTCCCATTCTTCGGTGAATTGATGCCATAATCATTCGTTTTTTTTAGTGAGGTGGAACATGGACATGGGCCCCACCTGCTTTGCTACGTAAAGATAAATGAACAACAAGTAACAACAAAGTGGATAATTGAAAGGAAACACAGTCGGATTTGATTTGTTCTGAGATGAATCTTTTCAATTTTTTTTTTATTAGTTTTTAAATCGTTTTTGTTCTTCCAAGGACAACTAGAAGATATAATATGGGAGAAAGTAATTATTGTTTGCAGATTTTTCAAATCTCATGTGTTCTTTTTTTCATTGTTTTTTTTCATGTGGAATTTCTTAACTTCGTTTCCTAGTAGGCTACTTGAGCACGTGAAAATGAAAGTGTATATTCAAATTTTTAGCTCTGCAATTCGAAGACGGAAGTATGTTCATCATAAATCAATCGGTGGAGCAATTTTTTTTTTAACCGTTTGTTCTTTTTGTATTCAGTTCATAATATAGTTTCGCCAATTCAAAATATAAACTTTGTCATTTTGTTTGTTTTTTGTTTTGTTTTTTCTATTTTGCCACTATACTAGATAGTCGATCCGGTGCCAGTTGTTTGGATGATTGATTCACACTGGTAATGGATTTGATGATTTTTATATTTAATTTTTACTTTATTTACAGGTTAATCCATTATGAAGATCGATGTTTAGCATGTTCAAGAGTAGTACTGATCAAAATATTACATTGAATGTCTAATTGATTTTAATATCAAGGGACAAAGCAGTAAGAGGGTGTAATTGGATAATGGCCAACGGTGTGTACCATGAGAGTGAGAAGCAATACTAAGCAAAGCTAAGCAAAACGTAGTGTCAATGCATGAAAATGTCCAAAAATATACAAATTCGGTGTGCGCAAACATCACAAAACCGACCGAAATCGTATAACATTGTCTTTTCACAAAACTTTGGGTTTCAATTTGCTCATAGATAGATTAATTGATAATATTTGTACATTTTTGGACATTTCTTTTGTGCGGCATTATTTGGTATTGACTCTCGGATTTGTCGACGCCGATTTGTCGACTCGACGGTATATCAATGTCGGTCTTATAACAATTATGCTTGTGCTGCTTTGTCTCTTCTTCAAAATTCTGATGTGGGAAATCAATTGATCAAACATTATTATTGAATGCGTTTGATTATCGTTGTTCATTTCCCAAGAACAGAAAAAACCTCCTCATTCTAACCTAAAACACAATTATTACATCCATACTGTTGTTTGTTGGTTTTTTGTTTGTTTGTTTAATTCGCAATTTATTATTACCCGCCCTCCTAAATTGGCTGACTGTTTGTTTGTTTAGTATCATTCCATAGAATAAAGATAAATATATTTTCATATATCAATAATAGTTTCTATTTCAATTAAATTTGTTTTTTTTTTTCAATCAATATTCATATTTCATTCCATTCTATTTTGCTGTTTCTTTCTGGGGCTGACAGCCCATCTCTCTCTCACCTTTTTCCCTTTCGTTCAGTGTTCATTTAAAATTAGTGCTTTCTTTCATATTGATCACCCACTTAAAGTTTACTTGATTTATTTATTTTTTTCTTTAATTAGTTTTATCTTATGGCCCTGTATGGTTATGTTGCTTGTTCTTTTTTCACAAAACATTCATTTCACTTAAACACGATCAATGGATCAATTCGTTTCTATTTCCTCTTTTCCTCGCGCGAATCCTTTGAAATATGAATAGAACATATAAATTGTATTGACTTTATGTTTGCGATTCCCACGATTTGTTTCGGGATTTACTCTAAAAGAAACCTCACTCCTTTTCGCTTTTTTATTTCGTCAAATTACGAATTGTATAACAAAATTTTTCAATTGGTTTTTAATTAATAATATTCTATGAACAATTTTGATTTTTGTATTCTAAAAAAATGAGACAAATTTCGTTGAGATGTGCTTTTATTTGTTTATTTGTGGCGACAAAAAAAAGCAGAAAAAACAAAAATTAATGGAGAAAATAACAAATGGAGTCAGTAGTTCAACTATTACACTCTGTTGTGATAAACTGAAGATTTCGGACGTTTTTTTTTCAGATTATTTTCAACAATTTCTCACCGTCAAATCGACTTTAATATTCTTGTAATACAGCTATGGGTGCGTGTGTGCGTTCTCCGGTTGCAATCAATCCGAAAATCCAGTCACAGCGATTACCGATTCCAAATATCGAAAATCCCCGCCTCCATTTGACCATAACAATTTGTGGAGAATTTAAAATGCAATTCTAGGCAAAATAACCACTTTAGTTGTGCAGACAGCGCACACCAGTAGACTGACCGAATGGGTCGAATGGTTTTTGAAAGCCAATGAGACAGTGTACGAAGAACAAAAGACTCGATGGTTGAAAACAATCTAATCAAGAAATAAGTATTCAGATTTTAGCCTTCGTTTCTTCAGAAATTAGAAACAGCTAAACTCGAGCTCAAATCTGTTGGGGCTGGTTGTGTGACATAGCATAGGATGGCTGTTGTTGAAAAGTGAAACTTTTTCAATTTCAGTAATTCCGAGTAATTCAAAAAAATAGTGTTTGTTAATATGGTTTTCTGTTTCTGTTGCATCTTCACTGATGGAATTCTTAATGTGACCGCTACGACTTTTCACGGTTTGCATCCTTAAAATTTCCATAGGCTTCTCTTTCACCTTTATTTGTGTTTTTTTATTTATGTTCAATCTTTTTTTTTTTATTTACAATGTTTTAAATGTGGTTGTTTTCTTTCTGCTGATGTTTCTCATGGTACTACGTTCACATGTGTGTATTCATTTCAATAATAATCTGAGATTTGAAATCAATTCACAATGTGTTGACTGTTTGTTTGTTTTTTTTTTGTTGGAATAAATGTATGTTTCTTTCTATTTTCAGTAAAAACTCTGTATGTAATGTAAATGTGTGTCAATTTGATTTAGAATGTGGACAACGAAAATTGCTCAATCCATAGTTGCATTTATATTATTGGCTTGACTGTTCAATTCACTAAACGATTTCTATTTTATGTTATTTAAATCAATTTAAAAGTGTTTTTTTTTCCATTTTGTAACAAAAATTCGTAATTAAAAATTGGAAACAAAAAAAAAGAATTAATTAAAAAAAGGGATTCCTTCGGAATAAATTCGTCATATATGCGCACTCATTGCTCGACCGATCGACATTTCGGCCGCTTTACTATTTGTATGGATGTTTCGTATATATTTATATTCATTTTTCATCTGCTCCCTCTTTCCTCGTGTGGTTTTTTTTTTCTAGACTGTTATTGTTGGTTATTTCCTTTTTTTACTTTAACTCTGTCCATATTTTCAACTCGGAAAAATTTCAATTTTTACGTATACAAAAATAAAATGTAATTGGTATTCATTTGTTTGCCAATGATGTAAGCATCGAAAGAAGTGGCGTGAATAAGAGAAAACGATGGAAATATTCAAAAAAATAACACATTTCTTTTGCATTTGTTCTTTGCGTCTGTGGATATTAACGCCTGCATTTTATCAGTGTCAATATCTAAGCAAAAATTTAAGTACAAAAATATAACAAAAACTTCTACTCTTTTCATCTTTCTTTTCGGTTTGTGTGTGTGTGTATCTGTGTTTTTTTTTTGCTGCTGGAAAAAAAATCATTCTCTCTTTTTTTTGTAATTGGCCTTATTCGATTTGGATTTGCAACAGAAATGAATCTTCAAGTTTTCACTTCTTTGTATTGTTTGTTGGTTTTATGTTAATCAACGTGTGTGAGAGTTTAGGCAATAAATTATTTCACTTAATTTTTATCTTTTCTTATGGAGGTTCGTCATCCGAACGGCAATAACAGATTCATGTTTTTTGACTCGTGATTCCTCACGACTTTCAACACTTAATTATTGAACGACAATAGTGTCGAGCGAACAAAATATTTTAATTGGTTTTTGTTTTGTTTCAATTTTGTAAATTTTTATTTTGATATCTGTAGTTTTTTTTTGGCCATGTTGCCGTTCACATGTTATGGTTGTTGTTCTAGTTTTTTTTTAATTCGATGGGAATTTGGCTGTTTGTCTACTCGCATCCTTAATTCGGCTGACTCTCTAGGCAATGTTTTTTTTTGTTGCTTGTTAAACCAATGACCTTTACAAATTATTACGTTCGAGATTTGATTTAGTGACTAAATTCTGAATAAAAGTTTTGTTGCGATGTGTTCGAATTAAAGCAGGGTTTTTTGTTTCGGTGTGTGTGTGAGCACCCTTCTCCATTGAAATCATGGCTTTAGTGGTTTTAGGTTTAACTTTTCGATCGAATAAAATTCGACGGTATTGTTATTGGCTTCCTTTCAAATGCTACATATAAATTGTAATGTTCTATTGAAAATGGCTCATTGTTTTCTATGTTGCTTAAATTCTTTAGCATCGTTTGCTGTTCTACGTAATATTTTTAACTTATCCCGTAAGCAATTCACTTCATATAACTTGGTTTCTCAGAAAATATGTTGACATATTTTGTTGCATCTGCATTTGATCTGTGTAATTAACTGTGTAGTTGAATAAAATGGTTGGTTGGTTGGTTTGATTTTTTTTATCTTCTATTCTCTCTCTCTCTCTCTCTCTGCGATTGATGATTGGTGGTAGTAATTGATGACAAAGTTTCTATTTGATTTTGTGTGTGTATGTGTGTTCTCTGCAGTTTAATCATTTCTTTCTTTTCTTTGTTCGTTCTTCTTTTTTTCATGTTAATTCTTATTTATTTAGATTTGATTACAATCAATGATCACATCGTTGCGTCTTGTTGTGGCTCCTGCTTAAATCGATTATTGTGGGCTTCCTGCAGCTCTTGCAAGAACGGTTTATCCGATACATGGATTTTAATATGATTGTTTAGAGTACTAGACTGTCTAAATTGTTTTTTGCACACCTGTTCGAAGGGATTTGGATTTTTTTTTTTTTTTGGAAAAAGAAAATAATGTCCATTTAGATAAATGTAACGGAAGAAAAATTGATAAATTTCACTAAAAAGAACCAGACACTTACGGCGCATTCGAAAGGCTTTTCTCCCGTGTGTATCTTCGTGTGGTTGATTAGTGTGCTTAGTTGTCGGAATAGTTTTGCGCACTATGAATGACGAAAAAAAAAACACAAAATCATCATCAAGCGATTGGATTAAAATGGGAAAAATACATTTTACGTTCAAAAATTTTTAGCATTGGAACGTCATACTCACGTAATTGCAGCTGAACGGTTTCTCGCCTGTATGAATTTTCGCATGGTTCGTCAACGTGCTCGATTGCCTGAATCGCTTATCGCATATCTGAAAATTGTTGATAAATTTTTGGTTTCTTTTTCGGTTAAAAATAAATTCATTTCAAAATATCGTAACCGTTGCGGCAACGACGGACATATTGGTACATGGTATCAAAGGGATTGCAAATGATCTAGCCACACTTACATGACATTTGAATGGCTTTTCTCCGGTGTGGATTTTGTAGTGGTTTGTGAGCGTACTTAGCTGACGGAATTGTTTTTCACATACAGCACATTGGAACGGCTTTTCAGCGCTGACAGTCATTGTAATTGCACGACTTAGGGCTCTAGACATATGCGACTCAAACTTCAAGTTCATAAAATGTTCAATTTTAGCGGGTTTTTTTCTCTCTCTCTCAAAAATGAATGTTGGACTTGTGTCAGTCGTATCGGATGTCTGAAAACCGGGCAGTGTTTCCAGCGCGATTTGTAAATAATTCGGCCAGCCAATTTGATCGCAATCCAACACACGTTGTCCAGGCAGTTGGTCGATCGGTTGGATTAATGGATGAATGGATGAACGAATGAGCCAGCCAGATAACGTGTCGATGGGGGAGGAATTAAACAAAAACAACGAAATACACGCGACACATATACAAGGGCACACAGGCCGGAGGTGCCGTACAGTATGTAGATGAAGCGAGAGAGATTATGTGCAAATAAAAGGAAGGCTTTTGTTATGTAGGGGTGTACTTCCACTCTCTTGTTTCTCACGTATCCCTGCAAAATACGTTGGTTCGGGTTAAAATACTTTCAGTTGTTTCCAATTTATTCACTGCAATCGTGTTGATCCAGTCATAAAATCAGCTGCCATATTTCTATCTTATCTAAAATGAGAATTCAAACACACAACAAATGGTACATTTTTTTCGATATGTCACAATATATAGAGAAAAAAAAGCGTTTCGGGAAATTGAGTTGTCATGTTATATGGGTATATATATATTTATCATTTCATGTTTCTCTTTTCAACATTGCAAATAATCGGCCAACTCGATCGAACGACGTCACCAACTCATCACCGCTCGTTGTGACTATCATCGTTTGAATTACGTAAAAGTGAAAATAACATGAGTTCTTTTTCTCTCGTTTATGTTCTTCTTATTTTTCGTTACAGTTTTTTGCCCAAATTAAAAGCAACGGCGCGCGAATGCGTTTGTGTCACACGCCGAAATGTCAACGAAAATTTCAATCATTAATCATTCGTTTTAATTTCGGTGTGTTTTTGGTCGGTGAATTTGTTTTCGCCTATGTGTCCTGTGCAAGCCGATGGATGTCATAAAATAATAATAACACTGAACGCCGTTTTTCAAAAAGAACCTAGATCTCTTCTCTCAAAAAGTGGTGATGTGCATACCTCTGTATCGACACTATGTGGTAGTTCGAGCGTGTCTCGGTGTATTCTCTATGTGTGTGTGTGTATGTGGGTGGGTGATCTTTGTAAATCTTTACGAATCTTCGCAAATGCGTTTCAATGACAAACTGTGCAAATGCACACTTACATTCGCACACAAATACCAAGACATTCGGTGCGACAGCGAAACGAAAAAAAAAATGTGCGTATTCAACAGCGAACAATAAAGTATGTATTGACATGTTCATATTTTATCAAATTATGTGCAAATGCTGCAATTTCAGTATGTTGTCAATTTTTTTTCTTCTTCTTCTTCTTCTTACGATTCGAATGTAAAATGCGATGCACAGTATATGCGAGGGAAAAAATAACGAATTGCGAGCGCGAAGGATTATCACACGGATGGAAGTGAATTTTCAATCACTGAACTGTCTTTTTTCCGCTCGTTAGTTCGCTCGTCGATTGACATTTTTTTCTTTCTTTCCTTCGTGGTTGCTTCACACCGAACTCACACTCCATTACACATAGACACATTGCAAACGCATTCGCACGGCAAACAGTTAAATCGATGAAATCGAACCAACAAATATCTACAGCAAAGTGCATAATATATATTTAACACGTTTTGTGTACGGTGTGCATTGCGAGTTCGTCGTCAACTCATTTTACTTATGGCTCTTAATTTGTACATTTTTATTTTGACATAATTCATTGTCTTCACCGACAACAAATCAATTCAACTTCAAATCATCGGACAATCAATTCCGACCGAATGTCGAATCAATCACACTGGCATTTTTAACCGAAGATGGAATAAAAATGAATGAAAAATTCAAAATAACAACCAAAACTATAGCACACACAAAATCACCGAATGAAAAATACTCACAAAAATTTATTGTTAAAAATGCAAGCATCGAAGCATTTTTCACGCTTCTGAATAAACAAAAAAAAAAAAAAAATTCTGAAGATGAAGAACGCATGAAAAAGCTAGGTTAAATAAACATACATTCGACGCATAGACAATGTGCGTAGAACGAAGCGAAGAATGGTTATATGCCAAGACACGAGATTCACACAAATCGCTTCTTACGGACGAACTTCAAACACAGATGTCGAACAGAATTCAAATAACGAAAAACTACCCAATGATTTTTAGAGGAATTTTTTTTTCTTCAGCAATTCGATCAAAATTTTTACCGAACAAAAATTCACAATAATTCATACACATTTGCGGTTGGTGGATATAACAATGAAAAATCACATCGGCACTAGTATTTCGTGAATTTTTATTTAACAAAACTTACCTGTTTATTACAATCAGACGCGTTCCATTGAATTTCACTATTTAACATACCTTTTTCACTTGCCTACTGTCTTCGTGCAGCCATCTTTCTTTCGTTTTTTATTACATGAGAAAATGTGTAGCACCAAAATGTCAAAATCTATTTCAAACCAATTGCTGTCGATGTCAAATTGACCGTGTGCACGTTAAAACCGAACAACAATCAGCATTTTTGATTGCATTAAATTGGATGCAGAAAAAAATGCGATGCATTTGTTGTGCACATACGCTGAAATAAAATCATTTGAAAATACTTTTTCTCTATATTTTTTTTCTTGCTCATCCATTTATTTGCCATAGAATAAAAGAACGCGAACTAGAAGTGTGAATATAGTTGCAAATGCGTGTTCACACACAAATATAGCCAAGACACGAACCATTCGAAATGTCAAGCAACCCAATCGAAAATTATCAACATTTGATAGACACACAAAGCATATACGGTCATTCATATATTTTCGGGCTGATTTGAATTTCAAATCTCCTCAAACTGACTTTTTGTTGCCAATTGTTTTTTTTCTTTTGCCTTATCGTTTAATTAATGTACTGCTTTGAAAATGTACTGTCCACGATGTGCATATGTTTATTATTGTTGTGCGACTGTGGCTTTGACTTCATGTATGGCGATTTGTTCAGTGTATGGAGCAAAATGCGACCACAAATTCGAATTACCACAAAATAGATCATTTCAATGAAACTGATTGTTGATGCACCCAAACATAAGCCAAATATTCCGCCGACTGATGCTAAAAAAAAGCAAAAACTGTTTGTTAGTTTATACTCGCTTTTTCGGAAATGATGTTAATACCGAGGAAATTGTCCCAGGTCATGTAAACGGAGCGCCTGTATCGGATGCATGTTACGTCTTTGAATCCAATGAACATCGTGGTATGATTCAATAAATCCACCCTTTCCGATGCATTACTGTAAAAGAAGACAATTTTAATTTGGGCCAGAGTATAAATTATTGATTGAATTAAATTGCCGATTGATTACAAAATGTTTGAGAAGCTCAGTTTTCGGTTGGTATCATTTGGAGATCTTCGTCGATTTGTAAGCAGCGTATGAAAATTGTATCGCTAAAATGAAAGAAATAATAAATTCTATTCTTTATTATAATGAAGAATCTTAAAATAATTTTATGGAATCGTTTGAATTTTAATTGAAAACAGAAATTTTGAAAATGAAGAATGTCACCGTTTCATGGCATCCTGGCATACAGTCGCAATTAAGTCCAATGTTGGATTTGTTGGTCATTTGATCAAAACCAACTGCATCTTTCGGTGGAGCAATGCTAGCGATCTGAGCGCGAATGCGCTGCAAACATGGCAAATTTTCGAGTTTGCACACACTAGCATTAACATAGGCAGGCAACGCTAGACACATTCAAGTTGTTTATCGAATGACCGTTTATTAAAAGTCTTCAATTTAAAGAAAATAATACAAAATCACACAAGAAAATACTCACACAAATGCGGATAGTAGTATGGAATACAGTTGCAAAGCTTTAGTAAATTTTCCACTTGACAGTCAATCATGCACATCGAGTATGTATATTTGCCTCTGATTTGTGTTTTTCGCTTTAAAAATCCAAAACATTTATAGTAAAATAAGAGATTTAAATTCAAAAATACCCACCTCATCTTCGAATAAACACTTGCGCTGTTTGAGTGATAAATCTCTAACCTACGTTTAGAAATTAACATTTAAAGAGTGTTCGAGTCCATTTTGACAATTAAATACGAACCGTTTGATCAGAAGTCAAGACTGATGGTGTAACAAAAACATTGACGTCGTAGCCAGGCTGAATTAAAATGGGATTTTTCATGTCTGGATAGTCTTCTTGCGGATGTATGGCCACGTGAATTCCATAAAAAGGTTTAGCATAGGAATAGTATTCATTTGGGTCTGGCGATAAAAACAAGTCCAATCCCACATTATCTCCAGCTCCTGAAATGTCCAAAAAGTTTATTGGCAAGCTTAGATTCAATATACAATCATGTACGCTACAATGAATAATATTTTTCTCTACCTGATGCATAGAACCTTGTTTGGCCGGGCCATCTGAAAAAGAGTTTGAACATATTATTGGCGAGAAAGTTAAGACGGATCTATACTAAATTTAATTACTTTGAAGAGCCAATGTAATTGAAAGAGCAACAAAATCCCCTGCCTGTCATCGATATTTGGAATAATTTGCTGCATGGAATGTATTTATTGAGCCAAAGGCATTGTCTCACCATACTTTCACATGGTTGCATCACAAACAACATAATTTCATCGAAGGTCATGTTAAATCGAAGCCGTGCTCGTCTTAATTCTTCAAATTCGGCCGTATGTTCGATTGGCTTTTGTATTATGAATACATTCAGTAATGTAAATGCTTCTCTTATGGCAGTCTCATTGAATCCAGCATTCTTGCTATTTCCAAAAAAGTGAATAAAGCAAATTTTTCGTAAGATTTCAACCAAGAAATATTGTTTTTTTTTTGTGCTCACAATTTTTCGGTCAAGTTTTCCATGGCTGGACGCCAAACAATATTCACGTTACATAAGGTGATGGCAGGGAAGGGTACATCCCAAATTGGATGGTAATACGTGTCGACTGTAGTCAATGTTGGTGTTTTTTGCGAGCGCTGCCAAACCAAAGTTGTCATTTTGAGAGCAAGAAGAATTCCAATGGTGATGGCACCACCCCACACAACAAAACTCGAGCACTTAGCGAACACGATGTAGCTAATATATGATTCGAAATATTAAATTAAACTCACAGAGATAAGACAAAATGTGTACCCTTTTGACAGTCTGCTTCGAGTCGACGGTTTATTCAAGTAACGAAAATCTTCAACTATGTTTTTGGCTCCATGTAACGATGTAAATGATCCAAAGTCATTCAACACTTTTACGAAACCAGTAAAAAATCTCCGCTTGAGCTCCTTCATGTTGATCGATTTACCTGCAGCTTTGAAGTGATCAATTTCTTTTCAAAGATTCGATTTATTGAAATATTCCGAATGTATTGCCGTTGCAATGTACTGACTTTGATGACAAGATATCAAACATATTTATAGTTCCTCTTCTAACATTACGACTCGATTTATTAATTCATTAACCATCACATAAAAGTCAAGTCAAGTCAATGGATTTGTTGAAAAAAGTTGAGAATATTCAATTTAGTTTTAATGTATGTACAAATTGTAAGTTACAATCAATATTCTATTCTAATTAAAATATGGTCTTTGAAAATGTCGTTCGTTTGTAGGTCTAATGATAAAAACTTTTTGTGCCTTTGATTCAATCCGTTTTCGTTGTGTGTAGTGCAGAACCATTTTCCCAATAGTTCGAATCAAGAGAAAATGCGCGATTTCAATTAGACTAATGCATGATCCGCCCAAGCACAATCCAAAGATTCCACCGAGAGAGCCTAAAATTATGTTGGAACATATCTATGGGTGAGATTGAGATTGAGAGAAGTGTATATTTCACTGACTTTGTTATGAAAGAGAAGAGTAAGTTTCTTTCTACTCAAAAATGGTTAAAGGCGAGTATGTTCATTTTTGGCGGGTTATCACGATTCTTCGTGGTTTTCTTGGAACTGATAAGAGATAACAACATGGTGCATTCGACAAAGTTGTAGTACTCAAAGTCTTCTATAACTAAGATGAAGACAACTATCGCTTATCTCTTATCAGAAAAGCGCGAAAAATGAGAAGAAAAAAAATTTCTTTATGAATTTTGCTTTTTTAATCGCACGATTTGCGCAAAACTGATAAAAGAAAAGAGATAACTATCATCAGCTAAGTTATAGAAGACCTCAAGTACTACAACTTTGCCGAAGACACCATGTTGTTATCTCTTATCAGTTGCGCGGAAACCGTGAAAACCGCGGAGGCTAGACGTCACGCCAACATACTCTACGCCATACTCTACTTTAATGCCAACGAACGATGAGAAAACATACTCGCCTTTTTAAAAATATAAATTGAAGAAAAAACATACTTTACTCCCAATCTCATCCATAGTTTATCTGTTTCGGGTCACTGTCACCACTTCCACAGATTGAAAATATTATCCGTAACGATGAAAAAAAAATTTCATTTGTTAAATTGTTTTTCATGGCTTACAGGTAACGATAAAAAAAATTATCCATATCGGTGAAAAAGTCCGATTATAAAGATAGCAGTTACAGATAAAACTCTTTATCCGTACGATAGAAAGACTCAATATTATAACAAACTTTTGTATTACTACTACCTTATATTACAGCTGTCAAAAATCGGTATTTTATTAATATGTCAATAAACAACATATTTTAATAATTAATAAAAATTTTGAAACACCATATTTATTAACGTTAATAAATATAGTGTATTTTATTAACATATTAATAATTATTAGTATGGTGAATTTTCGGTTATTATTGGATTTTATCCGATTTTATCAACGGACGACATCATGTTCACATCAAAGTCTATTCAACACAGCGTTTAGATTAAGACAATCATTTATCACGACAAAATCTCAAAGAAAAAACGAGTCTGGAAATATTCGACATGTTTTTTGTATGAAACTTTTCTTCACAATTTTTTTGAAAAGTTTCATACAAAATTCATGTCAGTTTTTGCCAGACGACAAAATCTCGATGTAAAATGAGTCTGGAAATATTTGACATGTTTTTTGTATGAAACTTTTCAAAAAAATTGCGAAGAAAAGTTTCATACAAAAAACATGTCAAATATTTCCAGACTCGTTTTTCTTTGAGATTTTGTCGTGATAAATGATTGTCTTAATCTAAACGCTGTGTTGAATAGACTTTGATGTGAACATGATGTCGTCCGTTGATAAAATCGGATGAAATCCAATATGTTGTAAAATCGACAACGTATTAATAACCACATTTTATTAACATTTTAATAAAATCTACACCATATTAATAACCGAAAATTCACCATACTAATAATTATTAATATGTTAATAAAATGCACTATATTTTATTAACGTTAATAAAAAATTCATTTTATTAAAAAATTAATAAATTATTAATTATGTTAATAAATAAAAAGTTTTACGAGCGTAAAACGGACTTTTCCGCGAAAGTATTCAAATTTTTTTTTTTTTAAAGTCAATCATGGTCGGCCATCGTGTTATAAATCATTTAACACGGATTAACATGATAAAATCGTGTTAAAACAAATCAAAAATCCGTTCTATGATAACAAGAAAAAAAAAATTTCAAAAAAATCCAAGGGTCCCTTGGGTGAAATTCTATGACATCCGAAA